CAGAAATGCAAGGAAATACATATATCTGAAACCTTTCTCTTTGTGACTCCTGGGATTTGTACCTACAAAGTTAAAGTGCTATACACTTAACTAATTGGAGTTCAATTCAATAAATCAACTCAGGAAACATTCATTGAGTGTCTGCTCTGTGCCTGGCATTGTGCTAAAAATATATGGAATAGAAATAAATATCAGACATGGACCTTGTCCTCCATGAGCCAACAATCTTGCTTTATTCTGAAATCCTGGTATTTCCCATGTGTTTTTAAAGGTTTTATCTCTGCCCAAGAGAAATATTGCCCCCCCCCCACATACACACACATAGTCCAATCCTCCTGTAAGGTCCTCCTGTGTGTAGCTTTGAGGACCAGGAAATCAGTATTCCTAGTAGTAGTGGCAAAAAGCCACAGCTTGATATCCACCAGGACCCTTAGAGGAGAGCACAGAAGAGTTATTTCCACCCCAAAAGCATCCTCCACACTACTTCGTGCATCCAAATCTTCTTTCTCACCTTAAATCAAAAGTATCTCTTCCATAAATACATCCTAAATCCCTTCACTTCCTCTGTGACCTCTCACTGCATGATTTCTGTGTCCCACTTAAATTGCAGTCATTTTCTCCCTTAGTTATATTTCTTTTGTTTCTATGTCTAATTCCTACACTTGACCAGTTGGGGACCAAGTTGGATTCATCTCTAATTCCTCACAGAATCTTCAAATTGGAAGGAAGAACAGGAAGAGAATCAGTATGTACAGGTGGTAATTTGGAACAGGGTAGAGATAAATAAAGAGGCAGAAAAAAGAATATTTGTGTAGAACAAAGAGCACTGGACAGGAGTCAGGAGGCCCAGGTTCACTCGTGTCTCAGCATCTTCATCTGTCAGATGGGATCATAATATTGGCTGGGCCAACCTTACCAGGTCACACTGAGGGTCAAGAAAGATAGTACAGCAGGATACAAAGCATGCTATACAAATACAGAGAATGCTAAGGTTTTGATATGTGGCAGTTCCTAAACATTAACAGTTTATAGATAGCAAATCAAGGTCTAGAGAGGTGAAATGACTTAAGATCACAGTCAGTGGCAAAGAATGAAAATAGCTGAGGATAGTTATGCTAGGACCAGGAGTATATTTCTGCCTGCATTGGGATTTGAACCTCCAAGTTCTTCAACTCCTGAGTTTGGTTAATTTTTGTTTGTGAGCAAACAACTTGACATCAGGTCAGGAAGTTAATATGTAGAGTGGTGAATCTCAAAAGAGAAAAAGAGATGGTTCATGACATAAGAAAAACACCTGGTCACTAAAAAGGTAGGGGGGAAATTAAGTAGCTCTAATAATTAAGGAAATACAAAGTAATCCTCAAGATGCCATCTTCACTTACAAATTTGGCAAAGATATTTTAAAAATAAGATTATTTCACTGTTGCCGAGTGTGCTGGGAAACTGGCACTCACACATTGCCAGTGGTAATAGAAAGTACTATTCCCAGATACTATGCTAAGTTATTTAAATACCTTATTAATTTTAATCATTAGAATGATTCTATGACAGATGTATTGTTGTCATCCCCATTTTGCAGATGAGGACACTGAAGTTCAGAGAGGTTAACTTGTCCCAAAACACTCTGCTAATTGGTACAATAGTATGAATTTGACTCTAGGTCTGTCTGATGCCAAAGCCCATGGCCTCAACCATAGCACTCTATCACATTTGCTGCCATTAGAAAATCAAGTTTTAGAGGAATAGTGACATTCTAAAGTGATCATGATATAAATGGCAAATGAAAAAAGCACAATACAAATATATTCTATGATGACAATTTTATTTTTTTGACAATTTCATTTTTAAAGTATTTCTATATATTTTTCATAGAAAAACTATGTACGGCTTCATCGAAGTTAGCAATGGTTATTTCTGGGTGGTAGTATTATAGGTTAGTTTTACTTGCATCCTTATGATTTTTGTGTTTTCCAGTTTTTCTATAAAGCACATGCATTGTGTAATTGGCAAAAATAAACATGTTAATATAAAAAGAGGTCTGAAAGCGAGCATTTTGTAGCTTCATTCTTATAACACATTCATAGCAATACTTCATTTTTATCTGTAGTACTAATTATTTTATGTTGGTATTAGATCAGAGGGGAGCCACCTTTTCAACTATTCTCTGGGGAATCTATTTGGGGATGAGGAGCTATGTAGTTGTGTAATATCTAGAGAATTTGACTACAAGAAGGTGTCCATAAATTTTTGCACCTTTGTGATCTAAAATAGTCCCCAGTGTTTGGACCATGGACCTCTGAAGTGGAGGGAAGGCTATTTAATGCAAGGAGTCTACAGATATTTAAATGGATACGTGTTTTTCTCACTCTGTATGTACTAAAATTACAGCTACTATTGTAAGTATGAGTGGGTGAAGTGAGATTTTTTTTTAAATCTTAAGAAGGGACACTTTCTCATTACCTGAAGTATTGGGTAGCACTGAAATAAAGACTAAAAATTGTGGTTATTTAATCATCCACATCAGGAATTAAAGATGCTCACTTCCTGCCCTTTGGATCAGGGTTTGCATGTTTTTGCACAGCACTAAAGGACATCTCTTTTATCATTTACAAACATTGTCTTTGCTACCCATTCTTATCACATTGGTGTACATTCACTAAGCTGTCAACTAGTATACATTCACTAAAGCTGACTGTGTCTCAAACATAGCTTATTATGGAACACTGCCCTCAGCCCCTGCCATATTAAATTTGCTCCTTCTCCTGCATTCTGTCTCTTACTATTGGTGACATTATCTACCCAGCTCTCAAATTAGAAACCTTTGACTTCTTCACTTCTCTCTCCCTTCACTTTATATCCAGCTGACCACAGAGCCCAATGTATTTTAACTGTTCAGTGTATCTCAAAGCCATGCTCTCTGCTTCAGCCTCACCACAACTGCCTGCCTATTATAACAGCTTCTCAATGCGTTATTTCCCTGGGAGAATCACTCACAGGTGGCCAGAGGGCTCTTTCTAAAATGCAAATCTGGTCATGTCATTCCCAGGCTTAAAGTCTTCTGTGCCTCCCTGTTGCCTGTAAGACAAAACCTAGAACCCTCTGCTTGACATTCAAGGCATGACCCAAACTGGCCACAGCCTCATTTTTCTTTTTTCTTTTTTTTTTTTTGTTGTTGTTCAGATAGAGTGGGAGGGAGGGAGGGAGGGAGAGAGAGAGAGAGAGAGAGAGAGAGAGAGAGAGAGAGAGAGAGATCGACGTGAAAGGGACACATCGAGTGGCTGCCACCCGCATGACCCAACCAGGGCCAGGGACAAACTGCAACCGAGGTACATAACCCCAGCAGGAACCGAACCCAGGTCTCTCCGGACCACAGGCCGACACTCTAACCGCTGAGCCAAACTGGCCAGGGCCACAGCCTCATTTTTCAACCTCATCTCCTACTTCCTACAGGTCACCTACATTGTATTCTGGTCACATCATATTTTTTATTTTCATGCTGTTTGGAATGTTCTTTTTTGTTTTATCTTCTCTGTCCAATGACAGTCCAATTTCTATTTCATGACTCACCTCAAGTATATTTCCTCTAGAGAGACTGTTCCTGATCTGACCAGGTAGAACTCACCTGATCTATCCCTTCCAGTGGTTCTCAACCTTCCTAAAGCCACAACACTTTAATACAGTTCTTCAGGTTGTGGTGACCCCCAACCAAAAAATTATTTTTGTTGCTACTCCATAACTGTAATTTTTCTACTGTTATGTCTTAGGTGACCCTTGTGAAAGAGTTGTTCCACCCCCAAAGGGGTTGCGACCCACAGGTTGAGAACTGCTGCTTTACAGCATCCCATCAATATTTCTATTATTAATGTAAGTAATACTTTATGGCCTGATTTTCCCCATGTCTGTTCTCTCTATATGTGAACGCCTCATGGGCAGGCACCATGTCTTTTTTTATCTCTGTGCCTCCTAAATGCTAGCCATATTGAACTTATTGTCGTCTAAACACACAGGTTTTTTGTGACATCCGATTTGGATAGGTGGATCCCTCTGCTGGGAATGCCTTTCTCCGTTTCTCCCCTTCTCTGCAAAGACAAACATCTACCTGTACTTCAAGACTCACTTTGTATATAGACCTAGAGGGTATTATGCTAAATGAAATAAGCCAGTCAGAGAAAGTCAAGTACCATACGATATCACTTATATGTGGAATATAATGAACAAAATAAACTGACAAACAAAATAGAAACAGACCCATAGTTAGAGGGCTTACTGACAGCTGTTGTAGAGGAGAGGGGTTGGGGGGCTAGGTGAAAAAGGTGATGGTATTAAGAAAAAAAACAAACACCTTATAGACATAGACAACATTATGGTGATTACCAGAGGGAAAGGGGTGGGGAAGGTAGAAGAGGGTAAAGGGTAGGTAAATGGTGATGGAAGGAGACTTGACTTGGCATGGTGAACACACAATACAACATACAGATGATGTAGTATAGAATTGTACTCTTGAAACCTATGTAATTTTATTAACCAATGTAATCCCAATAAATTCAATAAAAATATATATTAAAAAAAGACTCACCTCAAATGCAGTCTCTCTGAAATCTTTGCACGTTCTCAGGTAGAGTTAGTTGTTCTCCACTCTGCTCCCCTAGCCTTCTGGTCGAACTTTAATGATAGCATTTGCCATATAGGCAGTTCATTATAATTACGAGCTTACATGGCTGTCCCCTCCCCAACCTCCATCCCTAGGCTGTGAGATGTCACACAGCAAATCATCTTTGTGTTTCTAGCATAAAGTATAATAGAAAAACAATAAATACCTCTTTGATCAGTAATTAAATAAGGTTTATTATGGTACATGGTTACCTGGGAAAAACTATTGGGTAGGTCAGTAAGCATTGAATGCTTATTTACATAACTGATGGGGGCACCTCTGGGTAAGTGCTGGATTGATAGGGCTTTTCTAGGTCTTGACTCTAAATCTTCCCTTGTTATTCTTTCAGTGCATATACTCAAAGATCGGTGCACTGCCCATCCTCATCCCACATGAGCCTTGGTTCTGATGCAACCTATGGTCATGCAGGGATGCCCTTACACCTTCCCACGATGTCATGAGTGGTGGGCAACTGACCAGTTCCATCATAGCAGCAGCCTCCGAAGTGCCTGCCCCCAGCTTCAGGTAAGAAGCCATAAGCAAAAGGAAGACCTGTGGAGAAAAGGTGAACATGGAATCTGTGTGTATTCTTGTGGGTGTCCATGCTTCTTAAGGCTCAGGGGCACTCTCCATATACATGAAACCCCTTGGATAGCATGAGGCCTCCTTCTGGCCCATCCCTTGTCACTCATGAGGCATTTGTGGGGGGGCATGGAGCAAGGAAATATAATGTGCTAGACAACCCAAAGGGCTCACCATAGCTGAAGGCGCTGGTTCCATCTTAACCTCCCAAGGGAGATTCCAGAAGACTGTATTCCTACCAGGCATGGCTTAGAACAAGGCAGGAATTTCCTTTGGTTTGGTTTCACTGTGGCATACCTTATATTCTGCACCCGAAGAATGTTCTCTCCCATTCCATTTGCTCCTCTCAAGTACCTAGTCTTATTTGAAGCTCCTGGATCAGCCCCACCTGAGCCTCATACCTGCCTCTCCTCTTCCCCTCCTCCCCTAGGAGCATGGTTGTGGTACTGTGTAAGCCTGCTTGTGTATACTGGTAGGTAGGCAGACGATGTATGAGAGGCAGTAATCCTGAGAGGGCAGCCAGGGAGGCCCACAGGAAAGTTTAATTGACAAGGGAGGAGCATAGGCATATTTTGGGTAGCCCTACAGTGCTTTGGGGTCCAGAGGCCATGGAGATGTGAGAAAGTATTATGGCTCCTAGTTTCTCACAGGCTGCTATGCTGAAACACTGCTGGGGAGCAGACAGCAGATTAATATACAGGGAAAGGGAAGGGAGGAAGGTAGTGGGGATGGAGAATGTGAGTGCTGGGGAACCCGTTTTGGGGGGGGAGTAGAGAGGGACAGTCAAAGTACAGATAGGCATAACATCCAGGATCTCCTGAGCTATTTTCCTAGCAGCTAGCCAGAAAGAAAGTGCTGTGTCTAACATGTTCTCAAGTCCCTTGGTGCACCTACCCCTTTTCCAGAGTGCAAATTCCATAAGGTCAAGGAATTGAGAAACCTGGGCCCTTTCAAAAGGCTTGCCTTGCTCATTGTTTGCCCCCTTCAACCTTCATGGCTTAGGCATGAAAATGAGGGCTTCATTTTATAATTGAGAATAGTGAGACCAACACTTCTCCTCTGCCAGTTACTTCTCTTTCTTCCCTATGGCCCTGATATTGTCTTAAAGTTTCAAGAGATGAGGAGAGAGCTCTATGGGGAGTGGGGGTGAGAAGCAAACCTCATGGCCAGATGTAGAAGGCCACCGATAAGAAAATAAAACAATTAGTGTTCATTATTTGCCTATTGTTTGAATGGCTCTGCTAGGTGAACTTATGAGTATAAGGAGAAACTAGGAGGGGAGAACAGAGTTAAGCAACATAGAAAAGGAGCCAAGTTGGGGTGGGGGGAGAAACTAAGAAGAAGGCTAGAGGGAATGAAAGGCTAACATGGGTGGAGCTGGTTCATTGTGGGCACTTCCTACAGAACTAGAAGAGGTTGGTTGTGGCTGGGTCACAAGGGACCATTTCTAACTCTGGCATTCTTGGTCCAGGAGAATCTGCAAGACTGGATTGAGCCCAATTATCCCAGCATAAGCAAAACTGTGACCTGAAGCTAGAGCCACTCCCCATTTTTAGCCTGCCATCCATTGCCACCCCCCATCCACCCCTGATGGCTCCATCCCAGATCCCCAGAAAGGGTCAAGCAGCTGCTCCAACTATTCCTGTAGGTGGACCTCAGCATGGAAACAATGTGGAACTGTGGAAAGCCCAGACGCTTCTGTGGGAGATAAATGAGGATGGGAACAGAACCCTTTTTGGTAAAAATGAAGTGTTTCCGTTAGTGCTGAGGGGTGGGGGCCTGGCTCAGGAATGTTAACCTTTCCCCAGGCAAGTCTGCTGCAGAAGAAGGGTGTCCACTTCCAGAAGGGACCCTGCCCCTCAGGCCGGTGGCCCAGGGCCACTCAGGCAGGACACAGGAGCCTCTCCGAACTGAATCCTGCATAAAGCTGCTCAGTTCCATTTTGCCCTTTCCTTCCCCTGCAGAGGTCCAACACTGTCTATAGACTATCCAATTCCCCCTGGCCTTAGTGTGCGGTGAGAGGTCTGGGGGGATATGACTTTCCCTCCAACCCTCTCTGCCTCCCAAAGACAGGGCAGAGCACCCATTGTGTTTTCACAGTGGGCTCGGATGAATCTTCTGCCCAACAACCCAATCCTATCCCATGGCTCTGTCCCGAAGTGTGCCACACACTTTCCTCAATGTCTCCAAGGACACTTACTTAATCAAAGACAAGGCTTATTTCCAAGTCCATCCTCCCTCCAGTCCTTTAGGAAACTGCTTATGAGGGATGTTTGCCACCACAGTGGTTTGATCCTTTCTTCTACCTCAGGGGATAGGTGGGCCTGGAAGCCAAGTGAGTCCTTTATGTCATCCATAGCAGGAGAAAATAAATCAGCAGAAGCTACTCTCTACATGCCCCTCCTCAGCACCATGGAATGCCCAGCCCCACTTCTGCTATCCTTACCAGCCTGGGAGGGCCCTCCTGGCCCCGGTGTGGCGGGCCCAGTTGGTAGTGAGCCGGAATTCCCCAGGGACAAAGCTCTGATTCACCAGCTGAGCCCTGACATAGCCGCCCCCTCCAGATTCCTGGGGGGTCAGTAAACAAACAGGGTGACAGCTCCCGCCTCCTGGCCTGGCGCAGCTCTGCCTGCCTTCCCTGGGAGAGCCTGCTTAGAGCCTGTCAGGACTCTGCCTGTGGCTCACCAGGCACTGGATCTGGATTCATGCTGAGGGATAATCATGGAGCTGCCCAATCCTGCAACGGAGTCCCTACACAGCACAGGTAGTATCAGCTGATGGTGGCGCAGGGTGACTGAGTTGAAGCTCTTGCCCCAGAACCTGGCTGCTCCCTCATTTGCCTTTTAGTATGTGGCTGCAAGCTGTGGTTTTAGTGGAATGATTGGTTTTCTAAATTGCCTAGAGAGGCTTGTGTGGGGTGAAAGTCTTGAGGTCCGGGAGACTAGATAGTCTCAGCTACCAGGAGGACCATGTTCTTTCCACAGAAGGCAAGCAGGTAGACCGGCAGGTGGTAGGTTTCCTGCTACTAGAGTGGAAAGACTCAGCTGAGATTTCCTCCTCCACACTCCCCCTCCCTCCATCCCCAACTGACACCCTGGTTGGGCAGTCTTGGCATTACATTGGAGGTGCTAACTTCTCAGGGCTATTTGCCACGACCCCATTCCCCCAAACCCTACATTACCCCAAAGGGCAAGCAAGTGATGGGCTGTGAACTTGGATACCCGAGGCAAGTGTTTGGCAGGCTCCATGACTGGTCCTCTTAGCTGCCTGCTCTGGTCAAAGTCGTTTGGAGATCAGGATCCAAAATGCTGCTTTAGCCCTTTCTCACTCCGTGGAAGGTAAAAAGTACACTTTAGGATGATTTCTAGGCTTCCCAACTGTGGTGGGGAATGCAGGTGGGGAAGAGGGAGAGGGGCAGCTCTTGAGCTTTCTTTTCCAGAGGTTGGATAAATGATGAGACCCTGAAATAGGAGCCTACAGCTCACCTTGAATGCTGTGGTTGCCAGTATTTGGGGTAAATTCTGAGCAGCTCTTACCTAATTCAAGGACTTCCAGGATCACATCTGGGCAGTAGTCCTGGCAGAATTTATAATAATAAGAGTAATATTGATAGTAGTCAGCAGTCATATGTGACTGACCTATACCAAGAGTGGACCTTGCAATGAGCAGAGCCACCAAGTCTTTCTTTATCTTACCTCAAACACACCCTGGGACAAGCCCTTCTCTCCCCTTGTTCACACCTGTCCCACCCTTGTCTTACTGCGGACCAGGGTGTGGCACACTCTAGCGATCACAGGATGTCTGTTTCTGTTCAGGTTAGAGCTGCTGCTACCTCCCCTGCACCTCCTCAGGATGGTGCTGGGGTTTCCTGCCTAAGCCCAAAGCTGATCAACAGGTCTCTTGGTACCACTGAATGCCTGGAACCATCAGCCATGAATCTGTGTTGGAATGAGATCAAGAAGAAGTCTCACAACCTTCGGTAAGGCCTGCCTCCTACAAACAGTGGCCCTAGGAACTTGGCTCTGAGAGTGTTGGGCTCCTTTTGCTGCTGCAGCTTATCATTCTCCTCTCAGCCTGTTCCTCACCCTCTCATCAGCCTCACTGTCCCCTTCTCCTCCCTTTCCTTCTCTGGCACTAGGGTAAACCCCTGTGTCAGAAAGCAGGAGACTTGGGTTTGAGCCTCAGGTTTAAGTAGCTGTGTTATCTTGGATAAGTGGTTTGAGCTCTCTGAATTTTAGCTTCGATTTGTTTGGATTGTTTTTTAAGAAAAAAATAATGGGTGGAGGAATAATACCTGTCCTAACTATCTCACAGTGTTGTCCTGAGGACTCAAATAAGATCTGAAAATGCTTACTAAACTTAAAGGCACTGATATAGAAATGAAGGATATGATTATTCCCCCCTCCTCCTCTTCTCATAACTCTTCTTCATCTTGGTACATCTCATCTGCACTCTCTCTATCCTTTCATTTCTCTATTCCCATCCATTGGTTATTAACCCACCTAGTGCTCCCCAAACTAAGGGCAAATCAATAAGAGCTGGAAGATAATTTCTATATCAGCTGTTTCTCTTTTCCCTGTAGTTTCTGGTGAGCTCTGGTAGAGATGAGGCAGTGTGGAAAAGGTGAAAATAAATGCAGGCTGTGGAGTCAGATAAACCTAAATTCAAATCATAACTCTATCAGCGACTTAACTTTATGACCTTAGGTAAATTACTTAACCTCTCTGGGCAATAGTGCTGCCTATCTAATAAAGTTGCTCTGAGAATTAGTGGAAACAAAAATTTAGATAAAGGGTTTGGTCCAAGTGGTAGGGAGGCAATGAATCATTCTTATTGTCAGCTAAGAGGAATGGACTTGATGGCTGCACACAGCTTAGGCTGGCCTCCAGCTTCCTACCACTTGGACCTCAGCTCATGGCTCGTGGGGAGAGACTGACAAAGATGATTATACAGTACATATTTTTATTTTTATTTTCTTAATTTTTTTCTTTATTGACTTTAGAGAGAGAGAGAAACATCAATGAGAGAGAACACTGATTGGCCACCTCCTGCATGCCCCACACTGGGGACCCGGCCCACAACCTGGGCATGTGCCCTGACTGGGAATCAAACTGGTGACCTCTTGGTGCATGGGTTGATGCTCAACCACTGAACCATACCAGCCGGGCAACAGCACATATTTTTAATATGCCATATGTTAAACCTCTAGCCTATGTAGCCCCGACTTATCCTTCCCACTTACTGCATCCTCTCCTGGTCAGAGGGCAGGCTCTGAGAAGCTTCTGTGGATGAGCAATTTGGCATGACTTGAGTTCCTCTAGAGCAAGAGGGCAAGAAAACATTGTCACCTCTAATGCCCTTGCTCAGTTTTCTGCCCTTCCCAGCCTTGTGCTGGGCATGAGACTGATTTAACTGGTATCCACAAAGTGACATGTTAAACCACTTAAGTTTGGGATACCTCCCCACCCATGGTTATACCCTCTGGTTTTAGCACTGAGCTCCATGCGGAGGTGCCTCTGTGGGTGGGTAAGAAGGAGGGCTCTGGACCTCCTCCTACTTCAACCAGAGAAGGTTCAGAAGGTCTGTTTTATATATTCATGTTACACATAAGCGTTTGGGAAAAATTTTTTGCCACTTATAAAGCAAGACTGAAAATCACTGGTCCTACCCATTGTTTGCAGTGCTCGCCTAGAGGCCTTCTCAGACCACAGTGGAAAGCTTCAGCTCCCTCTCCAAGAGATTATTGACTGGCTCAGCCAAAAGGATGAGGAATTGTCAGCTCAGCTGCCCCTACAAGGAGATGTGGCCCTGGTGCAACAGGAGAAGGAGACACATGCGGTAGGTCAGAATGATGGAGGCCTAGTGTGTTCCTCTCAGCTGGGAAGGGATCTCTTCTGCAATACCCTGACAGAAGGACACCCAGTCTCTGCTTAGAGACTTAAACTAACAGGAAGCTGCATGCGGTCCTAAAACTCTGTGGGTAGCACTCCACACAGAAAGCCAAATCTTTCCTCTCTGTTTCTCCCATCAAATATTGGCCTCCCTTAAAATCCTGCCCTGATTTTTAATGGGGCCATGGAAAATGAATCATGATATAACATTAAGTGAAAAAAACACAGGTTACAAAGCCATATACAGGTGGATCTCAATTGTATAAAAATCTACATAGATGTTTTTACATGTATACATACATATAAAAACACAAGAAGGAACTATATAAATATATTTACAATGGTTAACAACTCTAGGTGATGAAATTAGTTATTTTTAATTTTTTTGTATTTTTCTGAAATTCCTAAGATTTCTGTGACAAATTACCTTTATAATAAGAAAATAACAACAAAGATTTCTAAAAATAAATACAGAATGCACTGAAAGAAATAACTGAGTAACATGACAGAGACGTTAACTAAAGCTACAATGGCAACATACTGCAATAGAAATATATCAAATAAATATGTTGTATACCTTAAACTTATACAATGTTATATGTCAATTGGATCTCAATTAGAAATCCATACAGAATGTAATACAATACAGCAAGAAAATAAACTATAATTGTGTGCTACAGCATGAATGAATTTTAAAGACAGTATGTTGACTGAAAAAAAAAAAAAACTAGATACCAAAAGAGGATAAACTGTATGATTTCATTTATTTATTTAATTATTTTTTAAAATATGTTTATATTGATTTTTTAGAGAGAGAAGAAAGGAGAGAGAAATAGAAACACTGATGTGAGACAAACATGGATTGGCTGCCTCCTGTACTCCCCCCACTGTGAATCATGCCCACAACCCGGGCATGTGCCTTGACCAGGAATCAAACTGGCACCTCTCAGTCCATGGGATGACGCTCAATCCACTGAGCCACACCGGCCAGGCTATAATTCCATTTATATAAAGTTCAAAAATGGAGAAATTAGTAAGTGGTATTACAAGACAAAATAGTGGTTACCCAATGAGAGGTGGAGAGGATAAGTTAGTGACTAGAGGGACCATAAGGTGGTCTTCCGCGATGTTAATGGAGTTCTGTTTCTTGATCTCAGTACTAGTTACAGAGATGGAATTACTTAATGGAAAGTCACTGAGCTGTATATTTTTGATTTTTATACTTTTCTCTATGTATACTTCAACAAAAATTAATTAAAATATTAATTATAATTATTTATAACCTTGCCCATTCTGGTTTTGGTTTCTCTAAGCCCCTTACAGGGGACTTTCTGAGTCTTCTGGAAAATTCCCAGCCCCAAATCCCCAGGGTGCTCTCTACCCTGTGGCATAGAGAGACCCATTTCATACTACTAGACATTCCAAGGTCAGAATCATTCTTCTTCTATAGGGAGGATTGTACTTCTTATGTCTGGGTAGCCCAAAGGTACATAATACTGTCAAAGAATCAAGCCACACTGAGGAAAAGAAAGGCTGTCAATTGCAGAATGGAATATAAAGCAATTGGAAGACATTCCTTTCCTGCTGACCATGTTGCTAAACTTCTCAGGCCTTTATGGAAGATGTCAAGTCTCGGGGCCCCTATATCTACTCTGTGCTGGAGTCAGCTCAGGCCTTCCTATCCCAGCACCCATTTGAGGAATTAGAGGAGCCTCGTTTGGAGAGCAAAGGTGGGTGATCTTCCTCTCTTCCCCCTTCTTCTTGAACTATGAACCACTAAACACCTTCCTGCCTTCCCCAATCCCACTTTCTCAGCTGTTATCTAGAAGGATAGTTTTCTCCTAGGAGTCCAAAGTTGGAGAGGAGAAAGATTAATACTGTAATAAAAAGTAAAGAGGACAGGGCCTGAAACAGGGTACACCAGCATGTGGCCCAAAGCTGCATGTGGCTCTGGAGCATCACGTGTGGCCTTCTAATGAAGCCTGAAAAACAAAAAGAAAAAAAAAGGACTCAAATGCATTGAACTGAATCAGTGAATCAAAATAGTAGTATGGCCCTGGCCGGTTTTGCTCAGTGGTTAGAGCATCGGCCTGCAGACCGGAGAGACCCGGGTTCAGTTCCTGCTAAGGGCGCATGCCTTGGTTGCAGTTTGTCCCCGGCCCTGGTTGGTTGTGCGGGTGGTGACCACTCGATGTGTTCCTTTCACATCGATGTCTCTCTCTCTCTCTCTCTCTCTCTCTCTCTCTCTCTCTCTCTCTCCCCCCACCCCCCCTCTGTTCCTCTCTCTCCCTCCCACTCTACCTGAACAAAAAATGGAAAAATGTCCTCGGGCGAGGATGATAAAAAAAAACCAAAAAACAAAATAGTAGTATGTCCTTTTAAAATATCCTGCTTTATTCTGAGAGACATGTGGCAATGCTCGAATCTACCAGCAAGTAAAAAAAAAAAAAAACCTTTTGAAAATCTAAAAAGTTAAGTGATGACATTTGAGAAGAAAATTGATTATGGCTTTTTGATACTTACCCTAGTGACTTCTGGCTACTTCCCTCAATAGAGTGGGCCACTATAGGCCTAGGTTCATATAAGGCAGCTGGGATCCATGGTGATTAGGTCTGAGTGGTTGCCTAGCAAACCCTCTTTTCTACAAGAGTCTTTATCTCTCTGAAATTGGCTATGAATAGTCTGGAAGGACTCTTCATTTTCATTAGTTGAGCCCTTTGTCAATGCCGTTGACTCTCTCGTTTCCTCTGAGCCCCTCAGTAGGAGGCTAGTACTCAATTATTGCCCAGTGGGCTTCAGCTTTGACAAGCTCAAGAGAGAGCAGGACAGTTCCAGCTAGCTTGCTTGGACTTTTAGGGCTCTGAATCTACTTCTGAGGAGAGGTCTGAGGGAGGAAGAGGAAACATACAGTTTAGGAACCTAGGTGGAAAAGCTGAGCAAGTTATACTAACTTCTCGGGGGTTGGGCTCTCTTCTTCTTCTTCTTCTTCTTTTTCTTCTTCTTCTTCCGTGCATTATGTATTTTTTAAATTATTTTTATTAATTTGTTTTTGTTACAGATATTTCTCCTTTTTCCCCCATTGACACCCTCCTCCCCATCCCCCCACCCCATCTCCAGCTTTGTTGTCTATATCCATTGGTTATGCATACATGCATGTAGTTCTGTGGTTTATCTCCCCCCCCAACACTCCTCTTCTGAGGTTTGTCAGTCTGTACCCTACCTCTATGTCTCTGGGTCAATTTTGTTAATCAGTTTGTTTAGTTCATTATATTCCACAAATAAGTGATATCATGTGATATTTGTCTGGGGTTGGGCTTTCATGAAATGCATCCCTTTTCTGGATGGAAGAGGGTAGCAGACATTAATGCAAAACCACATTCCAGGGCCATGTGAATAGGATGCTGGAGGATTTGCCTCACTGTGCCTCTTAAAATATTTTACTCACTATATTATCTTGCCCATTTTTTTTTTATCCTTACCCAAGGACATTTTTCCATTTTTTTGTTCAGATAGAGTGGGAGGGAGAGAGAGAGAGAGAGAGAGAGAGAGAGAGAGAGAGAGAAACATCAACGTGAAAGGGACACATCAAGTGGCTGTCACCTGCATGACCCAACCAGGGCCGGGGACAAATTGCAACCAAGATACGTCCCCTTAGTAAGAACCAAACCCGGGTCTCTCTGGACCACAGGCTGATGCTCTGACCACTGTGCCAAACCGGCCAGGGCTATTCCTTGCCCATTTTTAAAGAATATGAAGAAATCCTCATGATATAATAGATGAAAACAACAACATGATTTCTTGACTATGGTAGTGGATCCATCAGCCTACACATGATAAAATCACATAGATCAAAATACACCCACACACACCCAAATGAGTATAAATAAAACTGGGGAACGCTGAGCAAAATTGGTGGATTGCATCAATGTCAATATGCTGGTTGGTATAATGTATTATAGTTTTTCAGGATGTTACCATTTGGGGAAACTGGGTAAAGGGTACACAGTATCTCTGTATTATTTCTTACAACTGCATGTGAATCTGTAGTGACTTCAAAATAAAAAGTTTATTGTTTTAAAAACCTGATTGTGCAAAAGGAGCTCAAACATGGGGAAATATGTATTTGCATAAACACATATTTGTTTATTTACACAAATATGTATTTGCATAAATGCATGTACACACATGCACATCTTACAAAGGGCTGTCTTTCCCTGGGCTTCTCCTGCCTGGTTGGCCTCACCTGGCTTCCTGCCTGCCCTTGCAGATACCTCTCCTAGGCAGCGAATCCAGAATCTGAGCCGCTTTGTGTGGAAGCAGGCAACAGTGGCCAGTGAACTATGGGAGAAGCTCACAGCCCGCTGTGTGGACCAGCACCGCCACATTGAACGCACTCTGGAGCATCTGTTAGAGATCCAAGGGGCAATGGAAGAATTAAGCACTACTCTGACTCAGGCTGAGGGAGTCCGAGCCACTTGGGAGCCCATTGGGGATCTCTTCATTGATTCACTCCCTGACCATATCCAGGCTCTTAAGGTATGCAGGCCCCCTCACCTGGTTACAGTCCACCCTGATATCTGACACTCCTCCCAGACCCTGACAACATTTCTGCCCTGAGAGTCCATTGTTGATCAGGACTACAACCAAGCCTACCAGTTTGTGTGCTGGATTTGGGGGCTGGTTTAGCTGGAGTCTCCTCTGTCCTTCTACTGGCTTCTCTTTCTCTGGTGTTTTCTGTAAGTAAGAAAGGAAGAGGATAAGGACAGTGGCCACCTACATCTTAGTCCTGTTACCCTAATAGGCAAGCACCTAGATTGTGCTATTGGATCAAAATCTTGGAGTAAAGAGGGAAGAGTTGAGATGAATGACTAATGGTTTCTCTTTGCCACTCTGTCCACTGTGGGATGTGGGCCCTGATTCTACAGCTGTTCAAAGAAGAATTCTCCCCCATGAAAGATGGAGTGAAGTTGGTAAATGATCTGGCCCATCAACTTGCCATTTCCGATGTGCACTTGTCAATGGAGAATTCCCGGGCCCTGGAGCAGATCAACATCCGGTGGAAACAGCTACAGGTAGAGAGGTCTGGAGTGAGCCATGGGGAAGAAAGAGCCTCAATATAACTAGTCTTGGGGCAAACTTCTGTAGGCCCAAAGGAAGTGAAGGTGCATTGAAATGGGACCTACACAGGAGAATAGTAGAGAATGTGGGACCAGGGAACAGGCTTCTCAACCCCTAAGCTACAGGGAGTGCTTGAACTGAAGATCTGAGAGGGGTCTGTCTAAATAAGGATACTTAGGGTATACAGGAACAAATGAAGGGTGACCGTGGTCTGCAATTAGGAATGCCTGTCTGTGATCCTTGGGAATGCTGTGGGAGAAGCTAGAACTGGAGAAGAGTCAGCCCATAAGGGATCTCACAAAGATTCTCAGAGGCACCTGGAAATCCCACAGTAAATATCTGGAATGAATCCACTGACTTCTTACCTTTCTTTTCCATAGGCATCAGTTGGCGAGAGGCTTAAGCAGCTCCAGGATGCCCACAGGGACTTTGGGCCTGGGTCACAGCACTTCCTCTCCAGTACGTGAGACAAACTGGACTTTACTTAGCAGAGCTTCAGCCACCTTCCAGGAGAGTCTGCTGTTCTTCCTTGGGGGCCTAGTGGGAGCCCAATATACTCTGACATTCCAGACACAGTAAGGATAAAGCAGTGTAGCGTAGTGGTTAAAAGGATAGGCTCTTAAATCAGGGAGATTTGGGTCTGAATCTTAGTTCCTTGACTTAATAACTGTGCAAGCTTGGAAAAAATTAGTTTAAATTTTCTGAAACTCAGTTTTCCCGTATATAAAAAGAAGTAAAAATACTACCTAGCTTACAGGGTTATGGGAATTGAATGTCTTTATTTTTTCAACAATATTTATTGAGGGCCTACTGTGGGCCAGGTACTCTTCTAGGCACTGGGACCACATCAGTGAACAAAACATAGAAAAGTCGCCCTGGCCGGTTTGGCTCAGCGGTCAGAGCGTCGACCTGCGGTCCTGAGAGACCCGGGTTTGGTTCCCGCTAAGGGCGCGTACCTTGGTTGCAGTTTGTCCCCGGCCCTGGTTGGTCGTGCGGTGGCAGCCACTCAATGTGTCCCTTTCACGTCGATGTTTCTCTCTCTCTATCTCTTCCTCTCTCTCCCTCCCACTCTATCTGTACAAAAAATGGAAAAATGTCCTCGGGTGAGGATAAAATAAAATAAAAATAAATAAAATAAAATAAAAAGAAAAGTCTTTAGACCTGTAGAGCTTAAATTCTAGTGAGGGAAGCCAGACCATAAACAAATAAGTAAAAAGTATATGAGGTAAATTGGTAACAAGTGCTATAGAAAAAAGTAAAGCAGCTAAATCGTGAATAGGAAGTGATGAATTTAAGGATGGGAGAGGCATTGCAATTCTGAATAGTGGTCAAGAAAGGCCTCACTGAGAGTATGGCAATGGAGAGGAAACCTCAAGGAGGTGAGGGGTATCTGAGCCATGTGGATATCTGAGGGAACATCATACTGGGAAAAGGGAAGAGCAACTTCCAGGACCTTAAGGCAGGGGCATGCCTAAGAACCAGCAAGGAGGCCGCTGTAGAAGTGAGCAAGGAAGGGAGAGAGTGGGAGGTCAGAGTGATGGCAAGAGGCCAGAGCACAGAAGGCCTTGTAGGTTAGGGTAAGAACTTGGGATGTTTTTGTTGTTGTTAATCTTTACCCAAGGATATTTTTTTCATTGATTTTTAGAGAGTGGAAAGGGGAGAGAGAAAGAAAGAGAGAGAAGAAACATTGATGTGAGAGAGCTACATCGATTGACTGCCTCCTGCATATGCCCTGACTGGGGCCAGGGATTGAACCTGAAACCCAGGTACATGCCCTTGACCAGGAATCGAACCCATGACCCTTTGGTGCACGAGCTGATGCTCTATTCACTAAACCACACCAGCCAGGGCTTGGGATTTTATTCTAAATGGAATACAGAACCTTGGAGGGGTTTGAGCAGAAAGATGACATGATTTGACTTATGGTTCAACAGAGTCAGAGTGTTAAGGATTGAGAGTGGGAACAGGGAGAACTGCTGGGAAGCATATTGTAATAATCCAGATAAGGGATTATGGTGACTCAGATCAGGGTGGTAACAGTGGAAATGGTGGCAATACACAGATCTGAAAATCACATATGTACACAAATCATTTAGAAGAGTATCTGGCACATAGTAGGAACTCAGTAATGTTAATGGTAGTTAGAACTACAGCTATTATAATCACTGATATACACATATACCTGCAGAGGGCTCTTGTACTCAGGGAAATGGCAATGAGAACATTGGCCAGGTAACTGAGCCTCTCCTAGAATATCCAGAAATAAAGACACTGAGCAGTGAGGGACATCCTTTAAAGAATTCCTCACTACAGAGAAATGGGCAGTACTATTCCCCATTGTTCCACAGGACTGAGTAGCTTGACCTTTTGGGGAAAGGGCTTTGAGCCCCAGGAGGAATGTGGGTTCTACTTTGTATCCACAGCAGCACTCCAGCTGCCTGTAACTGAGTGGGTAGAAATGCTGGCCTGGTCAGGGAGAAGATTGTCAGGGTGGCCAAGTTCAGTTATTCCTGTTCATGCCCTTGCCACGTTTCTGACACATGAGGATATCAATGACAACCTCTTCTCCTTTCATTGCCCTAAAATAAGGGAGAGACGTGTATTCATTAGTTTTTGTCCCACCCTTAGGGGCTGTTAAGATATGGCAATAATGCCCTGGCTGGTTTGGCTCAGTGGTTGGAGCATCAGCCTGCGGACCAGAGAGTCCCGGGTTCAGTTCCCGCTAGGGGCACGTACCAAAAAACAAAAGGATCTGGCAATAAGAGTCAGGTGTCCCCTTTGGGGCTTGACCCCTACTTGGGAGGACAAAGCAGTGGAGTGTCTAAACTCCTGAAGAGCATTAGTGGCCAGCTTCTTTCTCTTTCTCTTCTTCCTTACCAGCTTCTGTCCAGGTTCCCTGGGAAAGAGCAATTTCACCCAATAAAGTTCCCTACTACATCAAGTAAGTGACTGTCTGAATCAGAAGTGGGTGAGTCACCTGCCCACCCCCTCCCTCTTTTGTCTTTTTTTTCTACCTGTCTCTGTCCCTCCTTATCTGTTGGGATTCCTTCATCCAGTCCAGTTTTTCCTCCTCCTCATTTCAAGAGTTCAAGATTCTACCAGGGTAAAGGTGAACCCTTGTGCTTTGGGATCCTCGGGGTTTGACTCCTGGATTCCACAGTTCCTTGCATACAACCTGTCACTGAGTGGTGTGTGCATGTGCGAGGGGGGGTTAGGGGTGGTGTGGACCCTGGTACTAATGATGCTTTTATTTGTAGCCATCAGGCTCAGACCACATGCTGGGACCATCCCAAGATGACTGAGTTATACCAAACCCTGGGTAAGAATGCTGGGTTCCTGTGTAGGGTGGATATTCCTGACACTTGTTATTGTTGAACTTTTATCTTTTGCCAGTCTGGTGGGTGTATAATGGTATCTTGTTGTGGTTTTAATTTGCATTTTCCTGACTTAAGTGGGTCTCTTTCTGTTCTTTGAAGCTGATCTGAACAATATTAAGTTCTCAGCCTACCGCACTGCAATGAAGCTACGCAGAGTCCAGAAGGCACTACGCTGTAAGTCTCCCATCACATTTCCCTTAAGGCCTTACTCCCCCCCCCTCCTTCTCTTCCTCATCTGTCAGCTGTTTCCCACTTTCATTCCACCTTGGGCAGAGTTGTTGATTGAGTTGGTGAGAACTCTCCAAAGGCTGGGATATGCTGACTGGACACCTGTTCTTTCCAGGGCTCTTCTATTCTCTCAAAGTCCCAGACTCATTTCCAAATTAACCCATAGCTACCCTCTTCCTTGTCCCTCCTTCCCTGTCCAAAATGGATAATCAAGCAACTGTTTTATGGTAGAAAATATCCTAGTTGATGGTTTGGAGCCATGGGGGGCTTATGTTCTTTTGCCATCTAGGAGTTATTAGATGTAGCATCAGATCTGTTGAAGCATATGCCAGTGGTTAGGGGACAACGTGGCTGCAGATATAATGTGCTGTCTGGCCTTTCTCAGAGACACTGTTTATTCAGTCTTCCTGGCATGTCTAGCTAGGCTGCATCTGACATTAGGGGTAATTATAAAGTCTTCCTGAGGTATGTCACCCTTACCCAGGCACACCTGAGCCTTCATAACTGGTGACTATGTTCTCAGAATAAGGTCTATGGACAAACCTATTTGCAGTTGAAATACATGGGATTTGTCCAACAAAGGAAGTGAGTTTACTCACATCCCACTATCTTCTTGAAACTGATGATAAAGAACATATGGGTATAAAAACATTTTAGATTAATTTACGGGGCCTTTTGCTGCTCTTCCCTTCCTTGGGATGAGTGTCTTGGTAAAGGGAAAGCTTGTGTCATACTTATAAATGGTTATCTGGAAATTGAGTCAAATTTGGTGAAGCTAGTGGCCTTACCTCTTTGTCTAGCCCCAGGGGTTCTTCTTTTGGCTATATTTTCTCCCTCTTTCCTTTCTTTCCTAGTGGACCTGATCACTTTAACCACAGCTTTGGAGATCTTTAATGAGCATGATCTTCAGGCCAGTGAACATGTGATGGACGTGGTGGAGGTCATTCACTGCCTGACTGCCTTATATGAGCGGCTGGAGGAGGAAAGAGGCATCCTGGTCAATGTGCCACTCTGTGTGGACATGAGCCTCAACTGGCTCCTCAATGTTTTTGATAGGTAAGGGCTTGCAGCAGTCCTGGAAACCTCCAGGATGAAATTCAAATGGACATCTCAAGTGGGCCTGGTGGGAAGGGGTTGCTCCCATGGTGGACTTGGACCCAACTCAGCTTGGGACATGGTTGGCACAGAGCCCGGCTGAGGTCAATTCTGTGAGAGAAATGACTGCTAAGACGTTAACACTGTACATATATTCATGTTCTCAGTCTCTTTTTTTAAACCTAGTGGTCGCAGTGGAAAGATGCGGGCATTGTCCTTTAAGACTGGCATTGCATGCCTGTGTGGCACAGAAGTGAAGGAGAAATTGGAGTGTGAGTACAACTCCAAAGTCTGGAAGTGAAATAGGGTGGAGGGAGAGATGTAGCGGGAGGAAGAAGGGTATAAGACAAGCAGAAGGTAGGTCTTATGACTCAGCAGAGGGTTACTCAGGCTACCTAGTGATACTTCCTGGACCAGGCTATTGCAAAGAACCCACAATAGCCAAAGGCCAAGATGGGCCTAAGTCTGTTTTTATTCCCAGTGTCACTCCAGTGGGTTTATTTTTTCTAATATGATGTAATTACTTTCCCAGAATCTGAATTAGCATTCTGGGGTACCCAGAGCCCGGACTTTCTAGTTATATTTCCCCAGGGCCTATCAGGCTTAGCCTTCTCCAGTCTGAAGCTCAAGCTATGTCATACATTCTATGGGAGACTTCCCATGTGATTACATAGGCAGGGTGCAGTAATCCCCACTACTGGGCAGTGCACAGGATGTAATTCTGTCTTTTTTAACCTCTCAACCTCTCTGGTGTGTATAGTACCTTTGCTTTCCTCTCCATCCTTCATCTTTTGTACAACATTTTGTACTTTTCTATAGCAGCATCCTTAGTTGTCAAGTGCCTATGGTGTGTTAAGCACTGTGCTAAATGTGGTGAGAACTAGGTTTAGTTAGACATGGTCCCTGCCTCAAGTGGTTTACAGTCCAGAGGAGGACACAAGTATACAGAAAGCAGTTTTTACAAAGTGTTTATTAGACTAATTAGAATGGCAAAGGATATGTGCTATATTCAGATCACAGAAGAGAAATGATAGCAATCTGGGAAAATGCTACAGAGAAGGAATCATTTCAGAGCGTATCCATAGCTGTGATATTATTTATTTCTTCCAACATTCCTTTGAGATTGGGTAGACAATGATTATCTATCTTTAATTTACAAGTAAGGAAACCGCAACATAGAGAAGTTCATGACTTACCTAAGGTTCTACAAGCTAGTCAGTAATGGATCCATTACTAAAACCCAGGCCCTCTGTCTTCCATGTTTGTGTGTTTTCTAAGCCTTAGGTGAGGTATGCAGCAAACAGACTATAATCTCTGAAGGAGTTTTTCTAAGGTTGATTTCCCACAAGGGCAGATATAACTCATATTCACATATAAGTACCACAGTCTATTCCACATTCACTTGAAGATAATTCTTAGATGATCAAATGCTTTGAATCATCTCCTCTTTTTGGATTATCTATGCCAGTGTTTATTTCCATTTGTGTGGATAAATGAGAGAATACTGTAGTATCAGACTACATAAGCTAAGAGGAGATAGGGCAGACTAACTGTGGCTCATGTTCAGGCACCCCTGAGCCCCTTAACCCCTTATCTTGCTTCTTAAGAATCTGTTTTTCTAACAATGTTATACACTGTTCTCATACACAGCTTGCTCTCTGTCTTCATCTCTCTAACCTCTTTCTGACATCCTCTCTCTTGTATTTGTCTCATTTTTTCTCTATGAACTCAGAGAATGCTCTTTTTAGAACTATTGGGATTCTAGAAGGTCAGGGATGGGCCTCTAGATATTCCAGTTTCAAAAATCATTAGCTAAGTCTATGTGCTCTTTCCCTGTTTTCTTTTTCTGCTGTTTCTCCTCGCTCCATTCTTTGATCATTCCTGCACTGGGGTTGGCCATGACTTATGGTTGGGCCAGCAGACCTCTTCAGCCAAGTAGCCAACTCAGGCAGTCAATGTGACCAACGCCACCTTGGTGTCCTGCTTCATGAGGCCATTCAGGTGCCCCGTCAACTGGGGGAAGTGGCAGCCTTTGGGGGCAGCAATGTGGAACCCAGTGTTCGTAGTTGCTTCCGTTTTGTGAGTATGGAACTGGGGAGGGTGTAAGGGAGGGATGATGGGAAGGAGGGTGGCAAGAAGAGAGGGAGGACTAAGAGCTAGGCTTTTGATCTGAACTATTCAGATGTAAGGGAGTTGGTTGGGACGGAACAACAGGGCAGAGGGTTCTCTGGGCTTTTAGGGTCAGAGTCCTGCCAGAGAGGGTGCCAGCTCTACTAAGACAGGACAGAGGTAGATACCTCTGGAGCACAGGCCAATCTAGGCCTTGCTAGTTCTCCTCTGAGAGCTGCCATTCTAGGGTCAAGACATTTTGGGCCTCAGTAATTGCCATTGGGCTTCCTGTTTCCCTAGAGCACTGGGAAGCCAGTCATTGAAGCTTCACAGTTCTTGGAATGGGTCAACCTGGAGCCCCAATCCATGGTGTGGCTGGCTGTTCTGCATCGGGTCACCATTGCTGAGCAAGTGAAGCATCAGACCAAGTGCTCTATCTGTAGACAGTGCCCCATCAAGGGCTTCAGGTAGGGAAAACAATACCTGATGGAATTATAATAATTGTAAATGGGCCATGTTGCAAATAAATCATATATTACAAAAATATATTATATAATTACAGCTCATCTATTATACATTATTATATATTGTTGTAATTCTGTTGCTAAATGTTTAACTTTTTTAAAAATCAAAAATATTTTCTTTGGTTTTAATTGTATTATGAAGTATCCCAGAACTACAAAAATGTATGGAGAAGCCAAAGTGGGTAGGTGAGGGAACAGTACAGAAAGGAAAGTGATTTCCTTGTGGTTTCCCAGGGAGTATTAAGTAGAACCCAGAAGCCGCAGCAGCCTGACATAAGAACATCTATGTACCAAATGGTATGTTGGCAAATGGTTCACAACTGACTCTCCAGAAAGCAAGAAAGAAACATAATTTGTAGCATTTGCTAATTTCCATGATGTAAATACTCCCACTGTGGCCGATGTCTGGCTACCCACAGGAGGTTGAGGAGAGATGTGCAGTTGCATACTATTTATAGTATTTCTGCCATGCAGATCCAATAGACATAAAAAGCTCATGGGTTTTGAATATTTATTACTTCATTTTTTAATATCATTTACTTAATTGTGAGTTTATATAATTTATTTTTAATAATGGCTGTATTTAACAACAGGCTTGGAAAATCCCTGAAATATTAACAGTTGGCTCGTGTGAGCCGTTGTGAGCCAGCTCCAGCACCCCACAGCACATACCCACCACCAAGCTTAAGAAATAACATATACATTTGAAGATCCCCTGATTACATTTCCATTCACCTCCCACAGCAGTAGCCACTATCCTGAAATTGGCTTTCATCACACAATGCTCAGTTTTTTAACTTTTAAACCATTAACACACACTGTCTTCAAAACCACCCTGTTTTTTAACAAGCACATGAGGCAAAGAGGTAAAATGTGACTTTCCCAAGTTCACACAGCTGGTTAGTGTAGATCCAGGACCAGATGTTAGATCCTCTGACTTCTCTAAGTCTAGGCATTTTACCATTCTATATACTACTAGGTCTGGGCAGCTGAGCCAGTCTTTAGAACTGGATCTGAAGGGATAGTCTATTATTGGGTAATAATAGAGTTATTGTAAAAACAACAACAACAACAACAACTTTTGCCTGGTTGATGTGGCCCATGGACTGAGCGGTCCCGGTCAGGGCATATGCCCGGGTTGTGGACACGATCCCCAGTCGGGGCATGCAGGAGGCAGCCGATCAATGTTTTTCTCTCACATAGATGTTTCTGTCTCTCCCTTCCTCTCTCTCTAAAAAATCAATAAAAAATATTTTTTTAAACTTTTGAAAATAACTTATAGCAAACTTACCCAGGGCTGATAGAATAAGCAGCCTTCGTATTGGAAGAGTAACTTCTTCAATGTAGGTGATGGTCCTGTGAGACTGGATGGACCCTTTGGGGTGATCCTTGTTTAGAAAGCTATTTGCTGTCATGAGTGATTTATACCTACACCCCCTTTCTTTTAAAAAAAGATGGTGAGACAATGTTATTTCCCACACTTCCGAGGAGTCTGAGCATGTGATTTCATGCACACTTATATTCTCTAGAATAAGGCTAGTCATTTAGAAAGGACTCAGCCACTGCTATGTATAGGAGGTAGAGCACATTATGGCTCCATGCCCCACCCCCTTCTGATGTGTGTGTGTGTGTGTGTGTGTGTGTGTGTGTGTGTGTGTGTATTTGGATATTAGGGTAATGGGGAGGTCACTGTAGTATTTTGGATCCTCTGTCCTACAACCTCTCCTCTTCCCAAGGTACCGGAGTCTGAAACAATTTAACGTGGACATCTGCCAGACCTGCTTCTTAACAGGCAGGGCCAGCAAAGGCAACAAGCTGCACTACCCCATCATGGAGTATTACACCCCGGTATGGAGCCTCTGGGCCAAGCGGGAGGGGGAGGCAACTCTCAGACTCTGGGCCCTTGATCTACTTGGCCAAGCACTGGCTAACTGTATTCTGTTCTCCTCTGGGGAACATTTTCCAAACAGTCCTGATGATTCACCAGTTTGGGGGATTCAGGCCTCTCTGTTCTTCCAGCAGAGCTTCTCCCTCACCAGGGCTGCAGCTGGGTATAGCAGCCAGGACACTCTCAGCCAGTAAAAGGCACTCACTGTTGCCCTGACCAGTTTGACTTGGCGGTTAGAGCATCAGCCCATGGACCAAAGGGTCTTGGGTTTGATTCCCAGTCAAGGGCACGTACTTGGGTTGCAGGTTCTATCTCTGTCTCCGACAGGAGTTGTGTGGGAGGCATTTAATCGATGTGAGACATCAATGTCTCTCTCTCTCTCTCTCTCTCTCTCTCTCTCTCTCTCTCTCTCCTCCCTCCCCCTCCCTCCCTCCCTCCCTCCCTCCCTCCCTCCCTCCCTCCCTTCCACTCTCTCTAAATATCAACAAAAAAAGATATCCTCGCGTGAGGATTAACAAAAAAATAAAATAAAAGGCACTCACTGTTTCCCTGCAGAGAGAAGTTTCAGGAAAAAATAAAGAGAGTAAGACAGTTCTAGGCAACAAGCCTTCTATTGCTCACTTTAGTTTTTCCTGCCAGTTTCCTATATTGCTCCTGTTACCTGGTCTTCACCTGCTACTTTGTCATTGTTTCCATCCCTCTAGTCAATGTCAAAGTTCATCCTCAAGTTAATTACTCAGTCTCTTGAGGGGGAAGGGGGCATGTTCTTCACCTGGGTCCCCAATTCCACTTGATTTTCATTGGAAACCGTGCTAATAGCCACCTGAATCCAGATTAGTCAGCATTCTTGAACTCCAGCTACACAATTTCACCTCTATTGTGCTCAAGATCCACAGCTCCAGACTTACCTGCCTGAGCCAACTGGGCTCCCTCAGCTCCTTTATCTTGTTCTGTCCCGCAGATATGCCCAAAGCCCCAAGCATATGCCCACTTCCCCCGACTACTCTCTCCATCCCAGCTCCCCATTTTTCAACCTGTTTTCCCACAATCCATCTCTCTAAACTGCCATCACTTCTCCAAATTCTATTGGCACAGAAACATGTGTGACCCAGTGGGAGCAGGGACCTTGCCCTTTATTTTTCTTTTATTATCATTTTAAAGTAAACACTATAAAAGTCATACACAGAAAACTGGCTTAAGATGGTAGATTGGTCATCCTCTACCTCCTGCTCACCTATGTTCCTAAAATTTATACAAATGATATTTTAAAAATTAACAAATATATGCTCATTGTAAAAGATTCAAATTATGTAGAGGTGTTTAAAGGATAAAATGAGCCCCGGCCAGTGTGGCTCACTTGGTTTTGTGTCATCCTGTGCACCAAAAGGTTGCCAGTTTGACTCCTGGTCAAGGGCACATGACCAGGTTGAGGGCTCAATTGCTACCCGCAGTCGATCGATGTTTTGCTGTTTCACTCTCATCTCTCTCTCTCTCTCTCTCTCTCTCTCTTTCTCCTCTCCCTTTCTTTCTCTCTAAAAATCAATAAAAATATTTTTAAAATATAAAATTAAAGTCCTCCTCTCTCCCCAGCCTGGTCTTCATCCTTCCAGTCCAAATTCTCATACAACCAGTTTTCGCATTTGTCCTTGTAGACCTTTTTCTAGGAGGCAGTGTGGTAGGCATGAACAAGAGTGGAGGACCAGTCACATTCCCTTCTCTAGGGGAGCAGCTATACCTACCCCATCATATCCCAAAACCTTTAAGGTGAGTCCCTCTACCATGTTTTCCCTCAGACCACATCCAGTGAGAACATGAGGGACTTTGCCACAACCTTAAAGAACAAATTCCGCTCAAAGCATTATTTCAGCAAACACCCTCAGCGAGGTTATCTGCCTGTACAATCAGTGCTGGAGGCCCACTACAGAGAGACGTGAGTACCCGTGGTTGGGCAGGGGCTGCAGCCTCACTAAGACTGAGTATATGAAAGGGCTGAATGTCATGTAGGCTAAGGGAGTGTTCCTGGGCAAACCTGACTAGTGACAGGGCAGTTCAACTTGGGTCTGACTGGGAATCCAGCCTGAGAACCAGACCCTGTAAATCCAGTATCTGTATCCTGTTCCCATCAGCTCTTGCCCATCTCACTGTTTTGGTGGGGGGTAGAGGTAGGGTGGTGATGAATAAACAGTCTATCCAGCTGCCCAGTCTTTGGTCCTCTGAGTCTTTGCTGCTTTCTTCTAGGCCGGCTTCTTCCCCGAGGTTGCCACATGCTGACACACACTCCCGCATTGAGCATTTCGCCAGCAGGTACCACCAGGTTTGGGGGACAGGGATTGCAAGGAGTCTCATGGGAAAGGGGTTTTAAGTTGGGGCAAAGAGAAAAGAATCAGGGCCAGGGAAGTGTGCACAGTGGGGTGTGTGGAAGCCAGCAAAGCTCAACACTTAGGTGTAGTTGGGGCAGCCCCCAAACCTGATGATTCTGTTGTGGGATTAGAGTCTTTGAGATGAAAGCAGGCCCCACATCCTGTTTTCCCTTCTGTTCCTGCTCTTTTTTTCCCAGGCTTGCTGAGATGGAAAGTCAAAATTGCTCCTTCTTTAATGACAGCCTGTCCCCAGATGACAGCATGTGAGTTTTCACAGCTGCTTCTTTTCCAGGAATAGCTAGCTCTCTTTAAGATCCTTCTGCCGCCATTTATTTGGGAAAGGTATATCCTCAAGGGGAGGGGGCAATGGTTAGGGTCTTTGATGCCCTAAGGAAGGAAGGCTGCTTTTTGGGCACAGAGTTTAGTAAGAGAAGCAGTCTGCTCTCTATCAACTCAGGAGGGGGAATGAATGATGTACTACCTCCCTGCCATCTGCCCAGATCCCTTTCTGTTGTAAGATCTCATCCTTCTATGCCCAGCTTTGAGGAAAAAAGAATATGCTCTCATCTAACAATGTAGAAATGAGTTATTATTTTATACTCAGGATGCCAAAGCCCCAGATAGTGCCTTAGCAACCCTGGGAGACACCAGGAATGTGACTGATGGGTGGCCAGAGAGACTACCTGGTGCTATAGCCCTAAGAATGGGCCCTTCATCTCTAGGGAGGCACCTGGCCTGCTCAGAGGGCCTAGGAGCAGCTAGCTACATGGATCAATCTGGCCCTGACCAGGACCCAGGCAGGTAGTGATCCCCCTAGGGATGGAGAAGTGAAGGGAGGAAGGTGGGGTGGAAGAATAGCTGAAAACAGGAATCATTTCCCAGGAGGCTTTAAATAGAACCCACAAGCCCCAGCATACTGAAAACACTCTCTCCTAGTATATATTCCCAACCATGACCTCTGCCACCTTTCAATACTTCCACTCCTCATAAGCCAAAATACATGGTCTTTTCCCTCTCTACATGACTTAGAAGTGAATCCTCCAGCACAAATCTCCTGAGGCCTGAGCTGGGAGCTGAGAACTCATGCCCTGAGCTGTTTCTTGGTTCAATGCCCAGCCATCTCCTTTCCTCTCCCCATACCCATGCAGAGACGAGGACCAGTACCTGCTGCGGCACTCCAGCCCCATTACAGACCGGGAGCCAGGCTTTGGACAGCAGGCTCCATGCAGCATGGCCACAGAAAACAAGGGGGAGCTAGAGAAGATCCTGGCCCACTTAGAGGATGAGAACCGGTGGGTGTGGTGATGGCTCAGATCTATGTGGTTTCTAGAGTCAGATAGCTTGCAAGTCCTGGCACTTCTACATTCTAGCTATATGGCCTCAGACAAGTTATATTCTATGATCTTCCATTTACTTATCTGTAAAATGGGGATGATCATAATAGTATCTCCCTCCCAGGGGTACTTGGAAAGATCAAGTGATCAGGCATATAACATGTTAGCCAGTAACTAGCTTAGAGTAAGTATTCAATAAGTGCTAGCTATTCTAGTAATTATCTGAATTCCTTTAACTCAACCCAAATATTTTCAAGTACCTACTAGATGCAAGCAGAAAGAATACAAACCCAGAGAACACAAAAGAGTATACATGTCTCTGTCCTCAAGGAATTTTCAGGGTTGGAATAGAAAGAGATACTTAGCACTTAGTGAAAGTAATAAAAGAAGAGGAAGGTGACACTGCATAGCACAGTTGAAGACTGGAAGAACAAAGGTGAAGATGATGACAGGAATGGCATTAATTCCATAAAGTATTGATGGCTGCAGGGACTGGAGGAGGGTACAAGCCATTTTAGGGGCATGCAGTAGCATGATATGATATCCCTCAGAACAGTGCTTCACAAACAGTAGTGAGCATACAAGTCACTTGGGGATCTTGGTAAGATGCAGATTTTGATTCACAGGTCTGGGTAGGGGCCTGAGTTTCTACATTTCTAATCAGATCCCAGGCCTGCCCATACCACTGGCACATAGACTGTACTTAGAAGAGCAAGTCCTTAGAACAGGGCCAGTCTGCAGGATGTTTGTTAGTGGTTCAAAATAACATAAATACAGAAATATAGAGTAAGCTTTTAGAAACTCTTATAGTACTTTGATATTGCCATGACATCCCAGCACATAATTAGTGGACTTACCTTCATTGAATAAGGTATAGACCAGTTTGATTATTGTTGAACTTGTGTGGCAAGTCATGTGTTGTATGAGCTGTGTACTAGCCATGAACATTCAGACCACATGTTGGTCCACAGTGGATTGAAAAATCCCCTTGGTATTTCACTACAAAAAAAATTTTTAATTGAAAATAGTTTTCAATTACACATGACAAAATATATTAGTTTCAAGTGTCCGACATAGTGCTGAAACATTTATGTAATTTACAAAGTGATCACCCTGATAAGTCTTCACTACAGATAGACTGAGAAGTACTGCGTTAGAGCAGCAATGGGCAGGCCCTGGGAAACAATGGGGAGATAGTAATTCTGTTGTAAAAAAAAGTAATATCCCCCAAAGAAGACCATCTCTTCGGAATCTGTTTTCTTGTTGACTCAACGTGGGTATTCAAAGTAGACCATAGAGGAAAGTAGTTGACAGATGAGGCAAGATGGGTGATATTTTGTTTATGTTATATCTTCTAAAAATCTAAAAAGTGGAGTAGGTGAATCAGTGGCCCTAATGCCTCATTTTTTTCATAGGCTATTTTTCTGCCTGATGTTAAGGTCAGAATTAATCCCCAAAGCAGCACATTAAAGCTCTGAGACATTTGTTATATGAAATGTCAGCTCCCTCTGCTCTGAGGCCCAAGGTTGGCAGAGTAAATGACATGTGCTGGAGAGGAAGTGGATATAGCCATTCAAACAAGAACACTGCTGGGGTGGGTGTGGGGATGGGAGAGCCAAGGGGTTGCTCACACCTAAATACGAGGGATCATTTAGGACCTGGACAGTCAACACCTCATTAGGGCCATAGATCTTGGCTTCTTTGTCCTTGGCAGGATTCTCCAGGGAGAGCTAAAGCGCCTGAAGTGGCAGCATGAGGAGGCTGCTGAGGCACCCATCCTGGATGAAGGCTCTGCCGAAGTGGCGCAGGACCACCGCAATGAGGAGCTTCTGGCTGAGGCCCGGATCCTTCGGCAACACAAGAGCCACCTGGAGACACGCATGCAGATCCTTGAAGACCATAACAAGCAACTTGAGTCCCAGCTGCAACGCTTAAGGGAACTGCTCCTGCAGGTGAGGTTGAAGCTAGGGGAAGGGGCAGAGCAGCCTGTACAGGGGATAGAGATGGGGAGCTAAGAGTAGATTTGTGACCACAGGGAGGAAAGAAAGAGCTCCTTGGCCGTGACTGTTAGGTGATCTTTTAAAGAGAACTGGGCTGGCAGTTGTAGAAGGTGGGGGAAGAAAGGGCCTGGTATGTCACATTGCTTGGCCAATTCTCTTCCATCTAGCTTTCACTCCAACCTTGTGTGTTATTCTCAAGTCACTGTGAGGCCTGGGGCAGAGGGAGGACTTCTGAGAGCTCACTTCCCTATAACACATTTGAACCTGGTCTTGAAAGAACAAAATTCAAATAATCATCCAAAACTGATTTTGCTCTTATGTTTGGTGGAAAGAAGCAAGCTTAGCAAGGGAAAGATTTTTTTCTACGAAAGGAGCTCTTGTTACTTTTGTCCCTTTCTTCTTTGAGAGATAGTGTATATGATATAGTGTAGCTCTGGAGTCAGACTGCCCTGTGTTTGAATATGGCTCTGCCAATTAGTGACTGCAGGGTGTTGGGACAGTTACTTAGCTTCACTATGCCTCAGTACCCTCATCTGTCAAACTAGGATAATAATATACCAACTTCATGGAATTGTGATAAACATAAAAATGAGATAATGCATTTAAAGAATTTAGCACAATGCCAGGAATATAGTGAACACTTTATAAATGTTACCTATTGTCATTATATGTACCAGATGATACCACCCTCTGTTTCTTCCCCACATCCTCCAAGGAATGGCCTCTAGATGCCTGGAGCTCTCTAACATATAATGTTATAAACTGAGGATCAAGTGTGCAACTCTACATTTCCAGAGAGAATTGGGTTTTGAACGGCTTAATTATAGCTGACATGACAGCAAGAGACCTTTAGGTGCAATGTCGTTCTTATAAGAACTGGGAGACTTTGACACATGTTGAAGGAGGAAGGTGATGGGTAATTGAATTTTCTAAGAAGTTTCCTCAAAGGAGAGGCCAGTGTTTGGGGCACTACCAAAGTTTCTTGAAGTCTAAGAGCAAAGAGATGGGCATGAGATCTCTAAGGCCCTTTCTAAGCTCAAGAGTCTGTCAAAGTAAGGTCAGGAAGGCAAAGCCACTTAAGTCATGCATTACCTCTTGCTAGCCACCCACCGAATCAAATGGCAATGGCTCTGCAGGCTCGTCCCTAGCTTCCTCTCCACAGCAGTCAGAAGGCAGTCACCCCCAGGAAAAGGGACAGACTACTCCAGACACTGAGGCTGCAGGTGAGTTACCCCAGCCCCTCCCAGCCCCTTCCTCCATTCTTTGTCCTGCCCCAGATCTCCTGCCTAAAGTTCTGCTAGGGCTGGTCTGGTTTCTCCTCATAGCTATGAGCTTAGCATTAGGAATGATTGGTTTATTGACTGATTCATTCATTTGTTTATTCTACACATGTATATTGAGCACCTCCCTTCAACTGGTGGTGTCCTACCAGAGCCCCTTGACCTCATCAGGGAATCTCTAGTTCCCTTTCCAAATTTCTCTTTTCCAACACAGATGATGTGGGGTCAAAGAGCCAAGATGTCAGCCTGTGCTTGGAGGACATTATGGAGAAACTTCGCCATGCCTTCCCCAGTGTGCGAAGCTCTGATGTGACTGCCAACACACTGCTGGCCTCTTGATGGAGCCATATCCCTATCCTATAGTCTATAGCTCTCTCCTGGTTCTGTCAAAGCCTTCCCTCAGCCTTCACCTGAACTTCCCAATCCCCACTGGCCCCACATTTCTGAGTTATTTGGGCTCTGGGCAGCAGCAGAGATCTAGTGGTATGTGAGGTGGGTGTGTGGAGGCTGGGGGAGGGAAAGGCATGATTTCTCCGACTCTAGAAATGTGCCCTTTAATCCTCAAGTTTAAGACTGGTCCTTTAAGTATGCTTCTGTTGCAGTCCAGGCAAATAGCACTTGGAGGCTACTCAGATGGGGAGCAGAGAAGCTGCCTTGCAGAACTAAGCAGCACTTGCTAGTTCTTTCCTTCTCCATGGAATTATGGAGATTGGGAAGACCGCAGGGTTCCAGCATTATGGATCCATAGGAGTTAGCCCTACCTTCTGGTCCAACTCAGGGAGGTAAAGGGGTATCCCAGAGACACCCCCTCTCCATCAATGTGCCCCTGAAAAAATCTGGGCAGCATGTGTCATATTACTTCAGCTTGAGGGCATATCTCTAACCATCCTAATGCTTCTCAGATGTTGTTTCCTCCTCAAATATCTTTAGTTCCTCTCCCTTAGTCCCTGGCAGACCTTCTTAAAGAGGGGAACAGTTCATCCTGGGTCCTACTTCCATCTTACATTTGGAAACATTAAAGAAATACTTATGGGCTTAGATTCCACTCCCCCTCCCCCCCCCATCCTCTTTCCTGAAGGCTTCAGCATCCTGAGAGGCCAGCTGAGTTGCTCTGCAAATCCTGTGGAAGTCACCCTTGGCTCTTCTGAATCTGCCCTCACAGCCCTGGGGGAGGGGCTGCAGCTTACTTAGCAAGGGGGTCTTGCTCTCCTTGGGTGAGGAAGGGGAAGCCACCCACTAGCCTGGAAAAGTGTGACTGCCTAACATCCTTTCTTCTTTTAGACTAAATTGGATGAGGTGGTTGATTGTCCCCAGATAATCCTAAGGCAGATGCAATGGGGCTACCTTGAATAGTGGTCCATTCTTTGGAGCCACTGACCACTTCCCAACCAGGCAACAGCATGGCCTTCCTTTGCATAAAAATATTCTCTCTAACTCTGGAAGGTGAACCCAAACCAAACTGAACTAACTTCCTAGGCATCGTATACCGTGATTCCTTTATCTGGAAACTGTTCAGGGTCGATAGTGGGAGGAGTGGGGAGTCAGCTTGGGAACTTTGAACAGAATCAGAGCCCACTTAGGCAGCTTTCTTTCAGAAGGAATCTTATAACCTAGAGCCCTGAAATTGATTTCATTTGCCTAAGTTTATATATATACATATCTATCCTACATATCTACTGTATATCAGTACACCCCTGGCTTCACTCACACATTAAATTCTAATACATCTTGAAGTATTAATGTTCTGCCTTGCTCTTTGTTAGCCCAAGCCTCTGGTTGAACAGATAGATACATTCTGGCTTACTCCCCTAGGATTTCTCTTCATTCATGTTGGGGGTGGGCTATCTTCAAGACCAAAGCAATAGAGGGAAGTCTGTGGCCACAGAGGAATCTAACAGGAAGAGTCACTCTCTTCTCTTTACTCACTCCAAATCTTGTTCCCTTGAGACCTGGGCCTTGGATGAATTTTCCTGGGCTCCTCTAAATAATGCTTCAGGTACCAAAATAGAGCAAATCCAAGCTTTACCTACCCCATGCAGAAAAGAAGAAACAAATAGGCTTTTACTAGCCTTTGTCAGGCTAAGGCACAGAGTACATCTTCTAGCCCCTTCCAGTTATTAAGTCTGGCTCAGGGCCTTAAAGGAAGCTGTGATTGCCAGTGAGGTCAGGAGGGTATGAAATGCTTGGGGTGCTGTGTTATAATCAAGCAGTGCACCAGTGGGAACAACTGCTGGGAAGCTAGATTGATCTCCTGCATGGGAGGGAGGGCAGCAACTTGGCTCCAAGAGCCTGTGATTGCCTCCTTCTAGAATCACCAGGGGGCATTAAGCCAGAGGCCCACAGTGTCAGACCTCATCACATCTGCCTTATTGCTCATGAGGTCTCTGGGTGGGAGGACTTGGGTGTCTGGATGTATAATGAGCAGGTTGTAGGTGGGCATCAAACACAGAGCCTGGGCATCTGTATGTGAGTGAGGAGAAGCTATATTTGTAGTGGCCTAGATTGTGGGCAGAAATGGGATAGAATAAATTTGCTGTAAAACAGGAAGCCCATAAGTCTTTGAGGTTTATGGCTGCCTAAGCCTTAGGAGGACAGATGTTATGAAACAATCTTTTACCAGGGAAGTCCTGGAAAATCCTTTCTGTAACCCTCACTCCACTCAAGAGATCTAGAACTGCTAAGGGCCTGTGGTAACCACAGTGGGCCAGGCATGGTAGAAAAGATGTAGATCTCGTTATGTAGGAGTTGTGCTGTTAGGTGGACTGAAGCAGCAGGTGCAGTGTTGAATTCTCATTAATGGGGTTACTCACACTTTATAGTCCTGTGTTTACCCTAATGCCCGAGATGAGTATAGGCATACCTCTAGGCATACCTCGTTTTATTGCACTTTGCTTTGTTGTGCTTCACAGATGTTGCTTTTTTTTTTTTTTTTTTTTTTTTTTTTTTTTTTTTACAAATTGAAGACAAGACCCTCTACCAGCAAAAAGATTACAACTCACTTTATTGTGAGGCTTACTTTATTGGGGTGGTGGTCTAGAATTGAATCTGCAATATCTCTAAGGTATGCCTGTTTATCTCTCAAGGCTCCAGTGATGGTCACTACCTCATGTGGGAGCAGTTTGCCTATAGTGAGGTAAATGGATCCTTGGGCACTGTGAATCCAAATTAAGGTGGGATTTACTGAGATATGTTGTATATCATTAGGCATCTGTCATGTATGTGTCTCCTAGAGGTATTGTGTGTGATGCAGCTTAGTTTATGGCCTTGTACTGAAAGTGTGGTGAAGTGCGTTGCTGGGTAGGCAGCCTGAGGAAAACGTCTTGTGGGATTAGCGTCTGTGATAAGGAATGTGAGTGTTTGCTGAGGTTGTTGTCAAACAGTATCAATGAACAGTTAGGACTGATAGGTAATTTACTCTTGGCAGAATCTGATAGAGGCCAACAAGCCAGTTTGCGTGTGCCTCTGCTAGTGTGAGAGCAGTGTGGAGTCATGTTGACTGTGAAATTGTTAGGGGAGGCTGACTGGCTGGAGGACATGGGGCTGTTTGTCGTATGGTTCTCCAGGGAGGGCCCTACCCAGGAGGACATATGCCCTTCCGTCCAGAATGGAAAGGCTGAAATCAAGGCTCTCAAGTACCCATTTCCTTCAAGGCCCAAAGTTTGGATATATTTTCTTGCAGAGAAACCTGTTTGAATTTCTCTGCTCCAGGTACTGGGCTGGTAGGTTGCAGTAATGAGAAACCCTGAGGCCAGGCAGAGGCCAATTTGGGGAGATGGTTTGCCTCCAGATTCATTTTAAGGAATATTCGTACCACCTGAGGTGTGTGTTTGGGACCTGAGCTCCATATCCAGCTTTGGAATAGAGTATTCCTTCAACACACATTCTCAGTGGTAGACTCGTGGCCTCTGAGACTATTTCAGGCCAAGAATTTCATCAAAGTTTCTTTGACATAGGTGACAGATAACCAAAAAAGTAGCTGCCTTAAGACAAACAATCCTGGGAGAGAAACTAGGGGCCTTGCCCTAGGGTTGTGGAGACTTAGTTGCTCAGTGGGGCACCTCTATCTCTGAGCATCCCTGCCAAAATCTGGCCCTGGGAACAAAGGAATACTTCAGTCCCTTCTTCCTCTTGTAACATCTATGACTGTGGGAGAGGGGAAGGTCAGGGCCAGGGCTCAGCTCCCAGCCCCCATCTTCTCCCACAGCTGCTACATTATGGGTGTGGAGGGACCTGCTGAATGTCCTTGCTCTCTCCAGGACAGTATTGAGGCCAGACTGAAGCCCTAGCTTGCTGGCTTCGAGAACTTGTTTTGAGGATTGGAATAGGGGAAGAAATTCAGGGGAGATAGCAAGGGTGGCACATAAGTCTAGAAAAGTTTGGGACGAAGGGGCAGGGCTGGGAACAAATTGGTTAACTTTGATTGCCACTCACTGTGGTGCTTTTCCCCTTTCCCTTGAATTCTGCTTTGAAAAGAATAAATTTGTATTTGTTTACTTTGGTTTCTTTGGTTATATATATTCTTTGACTCTGATATTCCACACCCTTCCCTTACTTGTATGTGAGAAAAGAGGGTGGGCCGAGAAGCCCCAGGAGTACTACAAAACATAGGCTACCAGATGAGTCCAATACATACTGGACCAAAAAGACACCCCAACTAGCTGCATCCACCACCGTTACCTAGCGTGGTTGCTACTCAAGGCCCTACACAATTAGCTAGTTATCCTCTCACAGAGTGAGCAATTATGGCAGTGCTTCTTCAATACCATTCTTGTCAATCCTGAAGATTTTATTTTACTAGCCTGAAATAATATACAAAAAAGAACAATGCAATCAGTTTCCATAAAGTTACATTTATTCCGTTGAAAGGTCTATCACTTAGAGCAGCCATATTAAAAAGTAAAAATAAAGAGGTGAAACAAATGTTAATAATATATTTTATTTAACCCAGTGTATTCAAAATATTGTTATTTCAACATATAATCAGTATAAAACAATTCTTAATGATATGTTAGATTCCCTTTTTTAAAATGTCTTAGAAATTGTAAAACAGGCGTACATATTCTGCTGATAAAGAAACAAGAAGCCCACATAGGTCCAGACAATTTATTAGAGACAGCAAAGGCAAAGACAGCAATGGTTCTAGGTCCCTGCATCCCTTGTTCCCCAGGATGACACTGAAACAAAAGGGGCCCTATGACATGCAACATGGATGGTGGGGCACCCTGTTGCAGAGTAGCCAATTCCACACTGCAGCTAAGCAGTTTTGTGGCCTGCAGATGTTCTCTTTGGGGCTGGAGGACAGGCAGAAAGTCCCATGCCTGACCAGAATGAGGAAGGCATTTGAGAAACTGCCTCATGGTAGCCTCCCTCAAGATGAGTAGCTGAGTGAGAATGGTCTTATAGGAGCTCCCCTTGAGATTGCCTATCTTCCCATATTTTGGTAGGATTACAGAGCATTCCACCAAAGCTCAGGGCAGTCTATGTGGATAGTGGGAGGTCACCAGGCTTCCAGCACAGAGCAGTCCCCCTACAAAAACTCTGTGTGTATTTTACACTTACCACATATCTCAATTTATACTTTTATGTTTCGCTAGACATATATCAAGTGTTCAAAAGCCATGCGTGTCTAGTGGATACCATATTGGACAGCGCAAATCTATAACATGCAAAAGTCAGAATCACGAGGCTATATATATTAAAAAAAAAAACTTCATGAGGTATCATACGTGTGTATGGAGGGGGTGGGGAGTCAGGGTGGCAATAACCTTTGGTGAACTGGAAAGCAGTGGTAAAGCAGTTGCCCAGGCTTACAATGAGATATGGTGGTAGAAGGAATGAAAGGGCACTGCAGACACATGAAGTTGGCCTTGTCCCTTCCTGTTGTCTCCCTTTTCCCCTTGCCTCTCAGCAGAGCTCTGGCTGCTCTTGGGCTGCAGTATCAGAGGCTGGATAGGGCTCTTCAACATCTCTCACAGTGAGAATTTGCCATACTCACTACCTCAGTCTCTCCAGCCTTATGCCCAGGGTACTTTTTATGTGTTTCAGCTCCAGTCCCCTGCCTTCCTTCATTTGAAAAGACCTATATTCCTTTCAAAACCTGCCTCTTCTCCTACCTTCTGTCTCTTCTCCCACCTTCTGTCTCTGACAATTCCTTTTCTCTATTCTCTTTCTTCTCATTTTTTAAATTCTGGGTTTCTGGGGAAAAATGTTTTTAAGGTTTTTTCCCCCATTGATTGTTTTAGAGAGAATGGAAGGGAAAGAGAATGAGAGAGAGAGAGAGAGAGACACTGATGTGAGAGACACACATTGATCGGTTGCCTCCTGCACAACCCTAACTGGGGCCAGGGATTGAACCTGCACCCCAGGTATGTGTCCTTGACTGAGAATCAAACCTGCAACCCTTTGGTCCTTGGGCCAGTGCTCTAACTGCTGAGCCAAACCAGCCAGGATGAAAAAAATGTTTTTATATCATCTTGGTTTTCAAGCTGAAGTTGGTTTCCTCTAACTTCTCTCCTAATCTTGGCTTCATTCTGTTTGCCCTTAACATGTCTATCTCCCTTAGACCCACTTCTTCTTGCATTAGTTAGCTACCAGCATTCCTTCTGTCTCTACCCCTCCTCCATAGGCCCTACCCATACATATTTGACCTCCTCTTCTCTGCCCTTGGCTTACTAACTTCAACTTGGAATGGGAGCACCTGAAGTGGCAGAGAAAACTTGCAAGCACATTTCCTAGAGCAACACCAACTTCATAAACTGGGACCAGACCTGGGACCAGACCTGGGTCTAGCTGAGCTATTTCCAGAAAAGCCTCAGATGCTTTTTTGGTAGTAAGCATTACTACCCTTGATTTCCAGATGAGGAAATAGAGGCTCTAAGAGGTGTAAAAACCTGCCTAAGGTGAGTAGTAGAGCTGGGATTCCAACCTTGTGTTTGTTCCACTACAACATAATTCAGTGCAAATACTGGAGCTGCCATTTTTATTATATCTCTTTAACCTCTCTCAATATCCCAATGTTATATGGTTAATATGAGATGATTTGCTTAGTTCTTTAGGAGTTATCCTAAGAATGCTTTAGAAGGAGCTCGAGTACTGAGAACATCTTGTGACATTTTCTAATCATAGTATACTACCTGTCTCTTCAGTTTCCTTTTGGATATGAGTGTATTCATCATGTGAGGGGTTTAATAAAGTGACAGAAATCCATTTAAAATGAGGAATTTATTTATTGATTAAAGAATACAGAGTAAAAAACCTTAAAAATACAGCTGCAAAAACAAATCTATCTATGGTTTTTTTGTTTGTTTGTTTTTTATCCTTACCCAAGGACACTTTTTGCATTTATCTTAAGATAGAGCAGGAGGGAGAAAGGGAGGAAGAAAGGAAGAGAGAGAGAGAGAAACATCGATGTGAGAGGGACACATCGAGTGATTGCCACCCACACGACCCCAACCGGGGCCAGGGACAAACTGCAACCGAAGTACATGCCCTTAGCAGGATCCGAACCTGGGACTCTCTCGTCCACGGGCCAATGCTCTAACTGCTGAGCCAAACCGGACAGGGCTTCGTCTATGGTTTTTAAGGGAATCTTCACAGGCATCACAAGCATCTGGTATCTCTAACCTTTCCGATGAGGGTTAGGATGAAGAGGCTAAGAACAAGGACAACAGCTTGAAATTTCATCTCTGCTCTAACTATTCTCTTAGCTAGCAAATAACCAGACACAGTCCTAAAATTACAACAGAAAACAAAGATTGTAGTACAAGAAATCATCCCTGACGCTTCCCATAAGTGGCCTGAGGTGACCTCTGAAGATAGTTTACTATTCACTTAACCCAAAAATATCCCACAAAATCATGCAAATCAAAAGGTTTAAACCTTCATGTTCACTTTAAGAACACCTGTGAAACTGCCCAAGTCATCAAGGTATGCATATTCAAAAAGCCACCAAGTATCTGAAGGATGTCACTTTACAGAACCAATGTGTGCCATTCCATCATTACAGTGGTGGAGTTGGTAGGTGTGCCCAGGCCAAACAGTGGGGCTGGACACAAGGTTGGTGGCCCAAAAAGAGTGCTTTTTTTGCTCCACATACTTAAAAATGCAGAGATTAATGCTTAACTTAAGGGTTTAAATGTAGGTTCTCTGGTCATTGAGCACATCCAGGTGAACAAAGCTCCCAAGATGTGGCACAGAACTTATAGAGCTTGTGGGCAGATTAACCGACCCATGAGCTCTCCCTGCCCATGGAGAGGATCCTACTGGAAAAGAGCAGATTGTTCCTAAATCAGAAGAGGAGGCTGCACAGAAGAAAAAATATCCCAGAAGAAACTGAAGGAACAAAACTGTATGGCCCAGGGGTAAATTCAGCATAAAATAAATATTAATAAAAGTAAAAAAAAAAAAAAAAAGAAAATCATCCCTGAGCAGGAAAGAAGCCCCCCTCATCTGAACAGAGACAGGACATAATGTACTATAAGCTGCCACAAAGTAGGAACTTAAATTCACTGTTGCCAGTCCTAGCCCCTGGTAGAAATGACTTCATTTGTTCTATGTTTTAGAAAATATATAAAGCAAACAGAAAAGGCAAAACATGCAAACCAGCTGCATGGCCTTCAGGCTAGACTGTCTCTCCTTGACAAGTATGGCTGAATCATCGAATGGCACCATAAAACAGAAAAATATAAATAATTCTCAAATTCATAGAGAAGCAAAGTCCTATAGTTGAGTTTGGTCCTTAGGTCTACTACTTTTTCATATTCTGTCCCTTTATATACTACTAGAAATTTCTAAAGTAATTAGCAAAAAAAGGCTCACAGAAACAAAAAAAAAATGATTCAACATAAGACAATAAAATGAACAGAAACATGCACAGTTTCATGTAGTTTTTAGTCTAGATGGGGAATCAAGGGTTTGTGTGCAAGGCTGAAGGCTCTCCTCACTTCTCCAGAAAGTATTTCAATTTTTCTTGTAGGAAAATAATCTGTAGGGAGAGGCAGAAAAAAACATGAAAAATTCATTCAAAATCTTTAGTTCCACTACTTTATGTAGAATTGACTTATATGAACCAAAAAACTGTAGTTTGACATTTATGTGGTTACCTTAGTCTTGTAATGTTCCAGAGAACAGTGCCACGGTCAAGAATGTGTACACAATGCTGCAGCAGTGACATTGTACTTTATTATGACAAATTTATAAAAGGAAGCTTCAAAATTGAATATGCTGAAAAATTAAATAGGCTTGCTGTTAAAAATCTGTACTTCTGGGAAGAGCGTACAGAGGTCACAACTCAGTGTAGGAGCAATGGACATGGGATGACTGCAGCCATATTCAGAGTCAGAGGGTAATACAGTTGGGAGAGCCTCTTGACTCATTGAACTCAATGGATCTTATACTGGGTCTTAGCTGCTGCTTCTTGCCACATTAAGAGACATTTGGAAACTGGGTCAGAGTCCTGACCAATCAGGAGCTAGATGGTGTTCTTATCCTGATGAGTTTTAAGTCAGAAGCCCTGAAACTTTTGTGGTGCAGGAATTTTTTTTTTTTTTTACTTGAAATGGCAAAGTTACCAATAACACTCAGAAGTATACTGTCTTTGGGACAAAGATTTTTTTTAATATTATTCAATTTAGGTCACTCCATACAAGTGTGGATTTTCTTTATGTGAAATAAAAAGAATGGAGCATTACAAAATTATCCTATGCTGCACACCATCTACTGAAACTGCTATAATTGCCACATGCAGTAAATTAGAGGCTCTTTTCACTCAGATGCTGACCGTGATTACAACTGACAGCTCCAATTTTCTCCTTTGTGGGCTCTTTCTTTTCCCACCACTCTCTAAAGGTAGCTTTTCCCCTAGGTTCAGACATCTTGCTGAGTAGTCACGTGGCTAACATCTATTCCCACAGCTTCAGTGGGCATTTCTATGCACGAGACACTCTCCACTCTCCCAACTCAATTAATCATCTTCTCCATCCTCCAACCCCAATAATCCTCTTCCTGTGGTCTTCATTTGTGTGAGAAAAACACCATTTTCTAGTTACCTAGGCTTTGAATTCCTCTTTGTTCCCCTTTTTATCCTGTAAGTCCAATCAATTGTTGAGTTGATTCCTTCTACCACTTACATCTTCCTCTAGTCTTTCCCTACTCTAATCTCTCCTGTATATTGCTGGCAGAGAAATGCTCCTGAATTACTCCCCAAGTAAAAAAGCTTTGGTGCCCCTGGCTGGTTTGGGTCAGCTGTCAGAGCATTGGCCCATGGACTGAAGGGTCGCAGGTTCAATTCCCATTCAAGGGCACGTGCCTGAGTTGCAGGTTCAATCCCCAGCCCTGGTCAGGGCCGCATGGGAGGCAACCAATCAATGTGTCTCACTCACATTAATGTTTCTCTCTCTCTCTCTTTCCCTCCTGCCCTTCCAACTCTATCTAAAAATCAATGGGAAAATACCCTCCAGTGAGGATTAACAACAACAACAACAAAAAGCTTTGGTGGCTCATTATGACCTACATCAAAAAATCTAAACTGGTATCCATACCTCTGAGCCCTTTTGTGCATGCTACTTTCTATACAGAATGTCCTCCTTTCCTTACCTCCTTATTAAAACCCTACCCATTTTTAAGGCTCCAGTTCAACACCATCTTTCCATGAAGTCTTCCCTGATCTCCATGGACAAAAGTGAGCTCTCATTCCTTTAAATTCCTGTCCTCATGAATTTCTCCCCCACTGGAGGCAGAGACTGCATTGTATGCATTTTGTAGCTCCCTGCAGAACTTAGCTTAAAGTAGGCACCCAATAAATCTACATTGAATAAATGAGCTAATATAAAGGGCTCTGAGTAAATAAAGCTTACAGTTATCTTCCTATGTTGAAAATAGCACTCCCCAATACTAACTACTAACATTGATGAAAACAAAAATGTATAGTGGGTGCTAAAGCAATCTTGGCATTAACCATACATATGGTTGTTTATAAGTAGTACTTGGATAAGTGATTTGTAAAGGGAAGAGAAGATACAGAACATAAGAATTCCCCTGGCCTTGTTGGATGGGGATGGAGGACAGCATTGTCTGTACCTTAAGAGCCCCAGGCTAAACCCATCCATATAATATGACCTCCAATCTCTTTAAAATGGTTACCCTCAACAGTAGAGGGCTGGAGTCAGCATATATTTTCTATACAGCTACTTGACCCTCACTTATCACACACTGCGCTCCTCTTTCCACTCTGCTCACTCTCTTGTGGCACACATCCTTAACACTTCCTTCTCCTTCAACACCCAGTAATTGACCCAGGTCCCATCAATTCTACCTTTAACATATATTCACTCATATATAAATGTTTGATAGCAAAATGTGGAAACAGCCCAAATGTCCATCGATAGATGAATGGATAAACAAAGTGTGGTATATCCATACAATGGAATATTATTCAGCCATGAAATGAAATAAACTATTTATATGTGCTGCAACATGGGTTAACCTTGAAAACATTAAGCTAAGTAAAAGAATTCAGACACAAAAGAATATATATGTTTCCTCTTGTATGAAATAGCCAGAATAGACAAAGTAGACTAGTACGAAGTATATTTGTGTTTGCTTAGAGGTGGACGATAGGAGTGATTCAGAAGAAATGGGAAGTGAATGCTAATGGATACAGGGTTGTTTTATTTTTGTTTTGTTTTTAGGATAATGAAAATGCTCTAAAATGGTTGCATAATTCTGTGAATGTACTAAAAGCCATTGAATTGTACAATTTAAATGAGTAAATTGTATGGTATATGAACTATATCTGAATAAAGCTATTATAAAGCATTTATGTTGTAGTTATATATATATATAACTACGTGTGTGTGTGTGTGTGTATAAACTTTCCATATCCACTGTCACCACCTTAGTCCAAGTTTCCATCATGTCTTATTAGACTACCACACAGCCTCCTTACTGGCCTCCATCTTCTAGTCCTGCCCTCCTACAATACATTCTCCATACAGGAATCAGAGAGATCTTTTACTAATTTAAATTAAATGTGAGTCTCCTGCTTATAACTCTTCAAGGGTTTCCAGTTGCACTTAACTAAAACCCATCCTCTTTATCATGGCCTGCAGGGGACCATACAATATGGCCTCAGCCTACTTCTCCAACCTTATGTTGTCACTCTCTTCCTTGCTTTAAATACTCCAGAGGTCCTCAATGAGACCAAATTCTTTCCCAGTGTGGGACCTGGCATATGCTCCAACCAAGAAGATCTTCATCCTCTCTTAGCCTGGAGTTATCTGAGAGGTCTCATCCTAAATATAACTTCCTCAGGAAGACTGATAATGACCCCCCCCCCCCCAATGAAATCTGGACTCTCTTTATTCAAATAGCACCACTGACTTTTTTTTTTTTATCCTCACCCGAGGACATTTCTCCATTTTTTGTTCAGGTAGAGTGGGAGGGAGAGAGAGGAACAGAGAGAGAGAGAGAAACATCGATGTGAAAGGAACACATCGAGTGGCTGCCACCCGCACAACCAACCAGGGCCGGGGACAAACTGCAACCGAGGTACGCGCCCTTAGCGGGAACCGAACCCGGGTCTCTCAGGACCGCAGGCCGAACGCTCTAACCGCTGAACCAAACTGGCCAGGGCGCACCACTGACTTTTTCTCCTTCACAGCACTTCTTCAAAATTTGCACCTTTAATTTTGTATAATTTGTTTACTATCAATCTTATCTGCTAGACAGTTAGCTCCATGAGGACAAGTATTGTATCTGTCTTATTCAAGGTGAAGGGATTAAGAAGTACAAATTGGTAGTTACTAAATGCTCATGGAAATGTAAAGTACAGCATAATGAATATAGTCAATAATACTGTAATAACTATGTATGGTGCCAGGTGAGTACTGGAAATAACAGGGTGAACACTTTGTAAAGTATATGATTGTTTAACTACTATACTGTACACCTGGAACTAATACAAGATAATATTGAATGTAAACAGTAATTGAAGAATAATATTTTTAAAATTGTGTACATCTAGGGCTTTTCATTCAATATCTGTTGAATTAGTGAATTTTAACAAAGACCTTATTTCAACCTGCTACCCTCATTTAGAAGGCTTGACCACTACTATTCCTATAAAGAACAGCCAGGCGCTGGCCAGTATGGCTCAGTTGGTTGGAGTGTCATCCCGGGCACAGAAAGGTCATGGGTTTGATTTACGGCCAGGGCACATACCCAGGTTTCAGATTAGATCCCGGTTGGGGTGTGTACAGGAGGCAATAGATCAATGTTTCTCTCTCACACTGATGTTTTTTTCTTTCTTTCCCCCCCCCTCTGCCTTCTTCTCTCTCTAAAATTAATTAAAGCATATCCTCAGGTGAGGGGGGGGAGAACAGCCAGAAATGAGATTGAGGGTGGAATGAGGTATTACTTGTATCAAATATTTTCTGGTTGATTTGAAAACACATTTCTTACCTGCTCATTTTTTTGTTTTTCTTGTAACTTAAGCTGCTCCAACACAGAGTGTAAATGATTCTGAAAAACAAATTGTGTAAATGATGCATGCTGAGTCTCAAAGCAAAGAACCAAGAAAAACAAACAGTTTGGCAAATAATTTGATAAGCAAGAAAACCGTCAATCATAACAAAAGGACTTAGAGTATAAAAATGGCACCTGCTAACTACAAGACCATTGATTTTATTTTATATACCCTAACACAACATTTTTCTTGTCATAAAATAAACAGTTGGAATGCCTTTGTGTTACATTTTTCTAGTTTAGCACAAATCCTTTGACTGGTGAACTATTAAAACAGCTGGCTTAGAATTTGGTGTTAATGCCTCCATTTCCCTACACTAGGGCAGGATATTACTATTCTTTTTTTTCCCTTTATTGATTTTAGAGACAGAGGAAGGGAGAGGGAGAGATAGAAACATTGATGAGAGAGAACATCAACTGGCTGCCTCCTGCATGCAGCCCACTGGGGATTTGGCCCACAACCTGGGCATGTGCCCTGACCAGGAATCGAACCAGTGACCTCTTGGAGCATGGGTCAATGCTCAACCACTGAGCCACACCAGCCAGGCAGAATATTGCTATTCTTAACTAGTACTGCCTGCAACAACAATCATAATATATCATATATTTGTATCTTTGAAAGTGTGTCCATATCTGTTATTTCACTTGGTTATTCAAAAGACAATACTTTAAATAGGTACAGTTCCATGTCCAGTTGCTCTCCTTCAATGACTACAGCTCTACAGAAAATGAAATCTGGCAAGGAATTCTCCAGATGCTTCAGAACTTCCCTCACTATAAAAAGGAAAGCAAACATGGCTAAACATACATTTTCCTTTTGTTGAAATGTGTATCAAGATATTCATTCTTACTCAATAATACATAATAAAATTTAAAAAACAAATTTAGTTAATTATCTTTCACTGCAATGAACACATTTTTGTAGAAACAACAGGGTTTATTCTATGCCCTACTGCTTTTTGTGGTCCTTGGCAACTTACTCAAATTCTTTACATTTCAATTCCTTATCTATAAAATGAGAATAGTGACAGTATCTATATTTCAGGGATGTAAGGATGAAATGAGATGATACATGTAAAATGCTAAGCTCTTTGTGTGACTTTCACGTAAGAAATGCTCAGTGTTTACTATTATCTCAAATCTCCTGGTTCCTTTAAAAAATGTTTATATGAGATTATCAGAATTACTCAGAAAAAAGAAAATAGGGATATCTATTATTAGGAGTTTCTAAGAGGTTGTTTAGCTTCATGAGTGAACAAAAATGCTGCTCAGAGAGGACATGAGTGGAAACACAAGATGGGATTTTGACAGTAAGATACCAAGATACCTTTATACCAGACAACAAGAATTTACCTTGAGTGTCAGATTTTCTACTTTCTTGATGAGATCCTTCTGTCTTTGTGCTCTGCACTGAACCTCTTGGAGCTTTTTCTCCATGTAATGAATATGCTTCTGAATTTCCATGACTAAGAGATAGACAGAAGCTTCATGTATCTAAATACAGGCTATTGAAAATCGAACTGCTGTTTGGCCCAGTGATCCCACCTGTAGGAATATATCCTAAGAACCCCGAAACACCAGCCAGAAAGAATATATGCACCTATGTGTTCATTAACAGCACTATTTAAAGTAGCTAAGATCTGGAAACAGCCCTAGTGCCCATCAGTAGATGGAGTGGATAGAACAGTTGTGGTACATTTACACAATGAAATACTATGCAGTTATAAAAAATAAGGATTTCTTACACTTGAGACAGCATGGAGGGACCTGGAGAGTATTATTGTAAGTTAAATAAGCCAGTCAGAGAAAGACAAGCGTCACATGATTTCACTCATATGTGAAATCTAATGAACAAAATAAACTAACAAACAAAATAGGCCCAGAAGCATGGAAGCACGGCACAGACTGATGGATCTCAGAGGGAGGTGGTGGTAGGCAGAGAATAACCAAGAACTTATATGCATATATGCATAATAGACACAGACAATAGTGTGGTGAAGGCCTAGGGTGGGACGGAAACCAAGTGGAGGGGTCAACAAGAGAAAGTGGGGAACATCTGTAATATCTTCAACAATAAAGATAAATAAATTTTAAAATATAGTAAAAATAAACAACCTAATCTAGTGGACTGAAATCCAAATCAACTAAAAGTCCACTATACATCTGAGCAATAAGTTTTCAAACTTAGCCTTGCATGTAACATGTGTTTAGAGTCCATCTTTAGCACTGCCACCCACTCTGTCCCACCTGTTAGTTTTTTCTTCTAACTTACCTATTGAACCAGCTCCCTCCTTTGCCTTACACTGGCCAAATTCAATTAATTTGGCCTGTAGCTCCCTTTGCAGATTCTCTTCATAACGCTGTTCCGCCTCTTCATTCTCATCATCATAGTAAAATTCTTCATCATCATCATCATCATCATCATCATCATCCTCGTCCTCATCATCACTGTTACTGCTAGAATCACTGAGTATCCCCCGAAGGATGTGACATTCTATTGGTTTTAAGCAAGAAGAAGGTGACACTACCTGAAGTTTTCAAATTACTCCCATGCCAGTTGCCATTGTACTCCTTCCCCTCAAATTTACTGGGCAAGCAATGAATTTTGTAATTTTTCCTGTAGAAATATTATTCCCTTCAAAAAACAAGGACAGGAAAAATTTTTAAATGTAACATTCATTCATCTATTAAACTATCAAGATATTTAAAGATCTAAGGGCCCATCGGAATTTAGAATACTATGGATTGATGGAAGATTAGAACCTCAATCTAAAACCCTTGAAGTACTAAAGTGACCAATAAGACGAAAGAAGGGCAAAGACATCCTTTTCCTGTAATTGGCCTGTAAGTCTATGAAGAATGATCTTACACAGGATCAACACCTACCCTCTCTGAAGCTCCTGGTTATTTTTGTTCATTTTTTGCCTTTATGAACGTACCTGATGAGATGTGACCCTGATTATAGCCACTTGTTCCTGGGAATATCTCAAAGCTTGGAATGGAGCCTTGACTTTCTACGTCCTTGGTTTCATCTTCTGCAGTGACTTCCCATCCTGAAAGGAGGGGCAGTCAAGGAAAAAAGCAGAAAGAAAGAAGAAGACACCATTGAAAGAAAAGAGGCTCTCTGCTGAAAGTGCTATTTATTTTCATCCAACTTCAGGCCTTTCTATCTAGATTCCTAGTGTGGAGAACTGCATTATATTGAATTACATAAGTAAATAAATTTCTATTATGTGAATTCACTGTTCCTAGATAGAAAGTAACATTTCGAAAAATCTTAAGTTCTATACATCAAAATCGGCACACAAATACCAGAAGTGAGGGCTTGTCAGCAAGTACATGTAGGATGAAACAGACTACACTAAAAAAGGATACGGAAACTGACAGATTCAGCATCAGAACATAGCAGTCTTTTCACTTCCTTTTCCGCATCAGGAGAGTCAATGCATTGGACCGGAGTGGGGATGGGAGGAATATCAGTAATGTCATCTAACACATTGTGTTTTTCAGGAATGCCCTTTTCCTACATAAAAATAAATTCAAATAATTAGCCCTCTTTAAGATATTCATTCAGACCAATTTCTACTTTAAGGAATGCTATTTATAAAGAAATCTTGACCAGGATCTAGATTTTTGTATGGTAAGCTTATTTTTTCCCAATCAAATTACTTGAGACATTTAATCTTTTCAATCTGCAACTCTATGTTAAAGACCTGTCTCAGAGGTACAATCTTTAGCCTCAATTATTTTCCCTGACCCACAATGGCAAAGAAATATGATGTTATTTAGAAGTAATTTAGTTTAAAGATCCAAATTCTCAGATTCCACTTCCCCACATCATTATTATTTAGAGATTTTTCTATTAAACAATGGGTCTTAGCTACATGTTCTCCCTTAAATTCAGTTTTAGAAAATTATCTCCACAGCAACCGATTCTTCATGCCACAAATAGAAATGAGAACTTTGAGGGAGGATAGCAATTTCAAACAACTGCTGGTAAAAGTGAACCCTGACTTCCAAGAAATGGCTTTTTAAATAAATATCTGAGAAAAAAAAGCAGATTATAATACACTGGGTCACTGGCCAAATTATATCTTTTCCTCTATAAGTTATCAGACATTAAACAATGGATTCATTTTTCAGTGAATCAAATTCAGTGTATGTATATGGGGGTGGGGACTAGAGGTTAGAAGAAAGACGAACATAACTTTTATGATTTCTTTGATTTGTTTGAAATTAATGAGCTATGAAATAAAACATACTAAGGGCAAACAATAAAGTTATATTATGACTGCTCTACCTCAGTAAAGCTGACTTCTTCGACTTGTTTGGAATCAACCAGCTATAAAATAAAACATAATAAACAATAAAGTTATAATATGATTATAACTCATACCTCACTAAGGCTTAAAGAGTTCTAAAATTCTTCTTAACTTAGGTTTACATTTACTAAGCATTCAATGAATGCTGTTGACTGACAGTATAAAAGCCAAGGCAACCATGTTCATAGATTGAAAGACTAGTAAAGATGTCAAATTAACCTACATATTTTATATAATTCCTATCAAAATTCCAACAACTTTTCTATAGACATAGACAATTTTATTCTAAAATTCAGTATGTAACATTTTAATGTTTTTAAATAGATGTTAGAGAGAGAGAGGAAGATGAGATGGAGAGAGGAAAAAAACACCCCCACCTCAGATCCAGCCTGAAACCCTGATGCGTGCCCTGAATGGGAATCGAACCAGCAACCTCTTGGTGCACGGGACAATGCCCAACCAACTGAGCCACACCAGCTGGGCTTATTTCTAAAATTTATATGGAATGATATAGGCTTTAGAAAGGTTAAAACAATCTTTAAAAAGAAAAGTGAAAGTAGTCTTCTTAATTTCATGACATTATATAGCTACATGTGATATCAGTAGAAGGATCAACACACAGATTAATGGAATAGAACAGGGAACCCAGAAAAAGACTCACATAAATATGCCCAACCAATTTTTAACAAAGGTACAAAAGAAATACAATAGAGGAAGGATAGCCTTTTTAACAAATAGAGCGGGAGCAATTAGACATATATGTAAAGGCCAAAAAAAAAAATGAAACTTGAACTAAACCTTATACATTTTACAAAAATTAACTCAAAAAACTTTTAGAAAAAAGACATAGGAGAAAATCTTCAGGATCTGGTCTGGGCAAAGAGTTCTTTGGCTTGACACAAAAAGCAAGATCCTTAACTAGAAAAATCAATAAATTGGATCTCATTAAACATAACAACTTTTGCTCTTTGAAAGACACTGCAAAGAAGATGAAAAGACCAGTTACAGACTAGGAGAGAATATCTGCAAACCAGATATGTGACAAAAAACTAATGTTTAGAACATAAAAAGAACTCTCAAATCTCAACAATTTTTAAAGATCCATTTAGAAAATGGGCAAAACGCATGAACAGACATTTCACTGAAGTGGATATACAGACGGTAAATACGCACATGAGAAGATGTTCAACATCATTAGTCATCAGAAAAATGAAAATTAGTACCACAATGAGATCACTACACAGCTATCAGAATGGCTAAATAAATAAATAAATAAATAAATAAATAAATAAATAAAAAAGTTACACCTAATGCTGCAAATAGAGAATATAGAGAAGTTAGATCACACATACATTACTGGTGGGAATGTAAAATGCTACAGACACTCTGGAAAAAAGTCTGTCAGTTTCTTATAAAACTAAACATGCAACTACCAGATGACACAACAACTGCACTCCTGGTCATTTATCCCAAAGAAATGAATATGTACTTAGGTTCACACAAAAACCTGCTCACAGCTTTATTTATAATAGTCAAAAATTAAAAACAACCCAGATGTCCTTCAATGCATGAACACTTCAACAAACTGTACTACATTCATACCATGGAATTACTCAGCAATAAAAGGGAATGAACTAACTACTGATACATGCAACAACTTGCACAGATATTAAGGAAATTGTGCTGAGTAGAAAGAGGTGTCTTAAATGTTATATATTGTAGGTTTCCATTTATATGACATTCTCAAAATGACAAAAGTGATGAGATGGAGAACATGTTAGTGATTATCAGGGGTTAGACACTAGAAGTGTAGGGTAGGTGGGAGGTGAGCGTGGCCATAAAAGGGCCAAATGAGGGAATCCTTGTGGTTACAGAACTGTTTAGTATCTTGACTGTGTCAGTGGATACATGAACATACATATAGGATTAAACTGCATAGAACTAAACATACATACAGAGGAATACAAGTAAAACTGGAGAAATCTGGTAATGGCTGGTTTGGCTCAGCAGTTAGAGTGTTGGCCCGCAGACCAAAGAGTCTCGGGTGCAATTCCATTCAAAGGCACGTACTTCAGTTGGGGTTTCTCCCCGGCCCTGGTCGGGGTCATGCGGGAGGCAACCAGTCGATCTGTCCCTCTCACATCGATGTTTCTCTCTATCTCCCTCTCTCCTACTCCGTGTAAAGATATATAGAAAAATATATATATATCCTCAGGTGAGGATTTAAAAACAAAAATGAAGATATCTGAATAAGATTGGTGAATTGTAATAATGTCAATTTCCTCTTTGTGATATTGTATTATAATTTTGCAAAGAGTTACAATGGGGAAAACTGGGTAAAGGGTACATATTATCTCCCTTTTATTTCTTTCTTTTTTTTTTATCCTCACCCGAGGACTTTTTCCCATTTTTTGTTCAGATAGAGTGGGAGGGAGAGAGAGAGAGGGAAACATCGATGTGAAAGGGACACATCGAGTGGCTGCCACCCGCATGACCAACCAGGGCCGGGGACAAACTGCAACTGAGGTACGTGCCCTTAGCGGGAACCGAACCCGGGTCTCTCCAGACCGCAGGCGGACGCTCCAACCGCTGACCCAAACCGGCCAGGGCTCCCTTTTATTTCTTACAACTGCACGTGACTCTGCAATTATTTCAAAATTTTTTAAAAATTTAATTAAAAAAATAAAGCCAAGCTACAGTACTTCTGTAGCTTGCCCAAGGTTCTAAAAGTCCGAGGTAAGGTTAGGAATATAACCATAATTCCCAATTCTCAGGTTCTGGAGGGGTTCATTTTAAAACTAAATCTTGCAATTGAAAACTAAAAGCATTAGCAGAAGTTTCTAATTGAAGACACAACCATGTCCCTAAAGGACCAGCCTATAATTTCAAGGACCAGGTTGGTTTTTATTAACTATATATTCCCAATTTCTAGCACACAGTGCCTGGCACTTAACTCACACTCAGTAAATGTTTATTGAACATACAAATGAATGAATGAATTAATACCCAACAAAATGCCTCTCCCCTCCCCACTCATAGTCCTTTTCCAATCCACCCAATAGATACAGAAATCGCACGCAACTAACCTTTTTTGTTATTTTGCGGAACCTTTTCTTTCTGACATTCTTAAGTGGTGGAGTAACTAAAATAAATTCAACATGGTGAAACACATATAATATTGATAGTAGTCACATATCTATCTGAATTTGGTAAGGAGAAAGGTCATGCTATAAACTACTGGCTCATGACATGACTCATTCCTTTAAGAGTGTCTGGATGCTTAATGAACCAAACACCTAAGTGTGATAAATGGGTCTCTGGTTCACAAGTAATTAGGATTCAGCAGATAAATGCAGTCAGCCAGAATGAGCAAAAGGGTTGGTGACTTACTGCCATGTTTCCAGACATATTTTTTCTGTTTCCCCTTTTCATTTTTCTTGATTTCTTTAAAATCAGTAGAAGTAACTGGTTCTTCTGAAGAAGAGTGGAGACCACCATCAGCAGTGCACACAAGCATCTACATTTGACAAAAACAAATAAGTTGACTATGGCCACAGATCTTGGGTTAGTAATGAATCATGTTCATTCTTACCACCAGAAGTCCTAGAGCACAGACGTAAGGACAACGTTACTTGGTATTTTCAGAAAACCAAGTATTACATACATTCATATTCATTTTCTCTGTGTCTCAGCAGCACTGTATGTAGCCTCTGAGTGTTTTTATAGCTTGAGTGTTTATCACTGTAGAAGGAACATGTTGAAAACAGATATATCTTAGCATTTTGATTTAGAAAGAAAAAAAGAGTAGAAATGATGAGTAATAACCAGCGTAAATCTCCACAGTTAAAAGCATATTGTTTTAGCAGAACATTCAGAAGAAAATCCCAGATACTACTATTTTCAAATAATGAAAGTCAATATAAATGGCAAACAAGAGGCCCTAAAAGCTATTTGGATAAAACAAAGTAGTGAAAAGTTATGAATAAAACACTAAACCAAAACATGCCATTGTGTTCCTGTGCAATTTAGCTGGGAATTAGAAGTGACAAGTAGCCATTCTCCAAGTGGAAAGGAGCACTGAAAGAAAGAGAAAAGGGCCCTGGCCGGGTAGCTCAGTCAGTTAGAGCGTCGTCATGATATGTGAAGGTTGTGGGTTCAATCCCCAGTCAGGGCACATACAAGCATCAACCAGTGAATACATGCATAAATAAGTGGAACAACAAATTAATATCTCTCTCAAATAAATAACTAAAAATAAAAATAAAGTGATAAAAGAAAAGAGAAAGGGATTTCTGGAAGAATGTGAGAGGTATAAAAAATTTGTCCATACCTGGGAAATATCTGCCGTTTTATAAAAGATTTTGTTGTCAAGAGTCTTCAGGCTTCCAATAACACAAGGCAAGTCAACTACCTTAGCAGTTAGTGAGACATCTTTCACCTCAACAGTCCCATGACGTCCATCAGCTGAAGAGAAGCAGGAAAGATTAAAGTTGACATCTTCGCCCTGGCCAGTATGGCTCAGAGGTAAGAGTGTCGCCCGCGGACCAAAGAGTCCCGGGTTTGATTCCAGCTAAGGGCACGTACCTCTTTTGTGGTTTATCCCCGGCCCCAGTTGGGGTTATGTGGGTGGCAACCATGTGTCTCTCTCACATCAATGTTTGACATCTTCTCAATGTATTGTTAAACCTGCTAGGATTTGAATAATGAAGACCTATGTGGGACAGACTAGTCTTTCAGTGAAATCTACTATTTCTCATAATGCTAGACTTATGCATTTAGTAACTCCCCAGAAGAAAGAAGGCAGAGTATATAGAATGCTTTCCCCCCCAGTTTATGTCATTTGATCAAAAGTAGTAAATTTTCTTAGTAATGGTTTGAACTAAATGTGGACAAAGTAGTAAATGTTTCATTCTCATCCTGAAAGGCAAATTCCATTCATTCAAACCCATTCATTTTGATACCATAAGAAGCATTCAATCATGTCATTATGCATGGGTGTTTCCAAAGGCTCAGGTAAGGGAATGGTTGATCCTAGAATGGTGCTAATAAGTCTCAAGTTATAACGTCTAATTAGTTTCACAAAGATAAAATTCTACACAACCTCCAAATACTGAAAAAAAATATGTGGATGACTCGATTGGTTGGAGCGTTGTCCCACACACCAAAAGGTTGTGAATTTGATTCCTGGTCAGGGTGAGTACGGAAAGCAACCAATCGATGTTTCCAATATTTCTCTCTCACATCAATTTCTCTCTTTCTTTCTCTCTCTCTAAAGTCAATAAACATATCCTTGGGTAAGGATTAGGAAAATTTTTAAATAAAAATATGTATACTATAAATATATATATATATATATATATATATATATATATATATATATATATATATATAATATACTAACAACTCTAAATCCTGCCCAGATGTCTCAAATATGGATATATTTTGAGGATTCAAGTGTAATCTTCTAATGGTAAGTGAAAAAAAAATGCAGAACCATGTTTGACACAATTCTTTTTGTGTAAATTAACTTTAAAAACAGAGATTATTTAAATGTTGGTATTACACATAAAAGTTTTGTCTAAGGAAATACAAGGAGAAACAGTTAATATTAGTTATCTTTGGCATTGACTTTGGGGTACTGTGAAAGAGAGTTTTACTCCTTTTGAACTTTTTTGTTTTATTTGAATTTTCTAGCCATAACTTTGTATTGCCCTTTTTAAAAATGTCAATAGGGTACTGGCCGGTTGCTCAGTAGTTAGAGCGGCGGCCCACAGACCAATGAGTCTCAGGTTCAATTCCTGTCAAGGGCACATACCTCGGTTGTGGTTCATCCCCTGCTGCAGTTCGTCCCTGGCCCTGGTTGGGGTCGTTTGGGGGGTAACCAGTCAATGTGTCTCTCTCACAGTGATGTTTCTTTCTGTCTCTCTCTCCTTCCCTCCCTCCCACTCTATCTAATGATAAATGGAAAAATATCCTCAAGTGAGGAATAAAAAAAAAAAGATAAAAATGTCAATAAGGCTACTAGAGTGGTGAACTTATGGGCTATTTTTTATTTCCTTCTTCATATACTTCTCTGTATTTACTTTATTTATTTATTTATTTATTTATCCTCACCCGAGGACATTTTTCCATTTTTTGTTCAGGTAGAGTGGGAGGGAGAGAGAGGAACAGAGAGAGAGAGAGAAACATTGATGTGAAAGGAACACATCGAGTGGCTGCCACCCACACAACCGACCAGGGCCGGGGACAAACTGCAACTGAGGTACGCGCCCTTAGCGGGAACCGAACCTGGGTCTCTCAGGACCGCAGGCCGACGCTCTAACCGCTGAGCCAAACCGGCCAGGGCTGTATTTACTTTATTTTAACATAAAAGTTTAATTGAATAAATACATACACTGTCATGTAAAATTAGCTGAACAAAAGTACATTTTATTATTAAAAAAAAAAGAAAAAACTCTACAGCTTTTCATTTGCAATGTACAATTCAGCTAGAACTGAAGTTAAAGTGACAATCACAGTTTAAATGCACAGACACACAGATTTGCAGTTGTCATAGGTTCTGCTTCTCTATATTTGAAAAACCTAATAACTGTTATTGAAAAGAGAGAAAGGTATGTCACAGAACAGTAGATTCATTTATCATGGTCAGCAATCCCAAAGCTTGTATGTAGAAGACAATCAGCAGTATGCAAATCCTACAGTTGACTCCCAGGTTCTTCCTTATATATACTGTGATAATTACCTCCAGTTGCGTAATACCTACTTCCTTTCCTCTTAAAAGAAGAAATGGGAGTGATGTAAGCCTCTCTTAGAGCCCATCAAGACAGAGGCACATTCTGTTCTTTGTCATATCCTTAGTATGGGGTAAACACCTGGCATAAAGCAATCCCTTAATAAATCACTGTTCAATGTATGGTGAATGGATATTTAACTACTTACAAGATAAGTCAATTTTTAGTTTATCCTTCATGGTGACACTTCTGGATTGTATCATTTCCCTGACAGTAGCAGCATGTTCCTAAAAAGGAGGTAAACTGACAAATCAGAAGGACGAATTGTCTACTTGGTAGCTAATATAACAGTTATGTCAGAGGCAGTCCTCCTTAAAAAATATTAAACCTCCCAAACATTAGGAGCAAATGCCATATACCATGAAATACCATGCATTGTGCAAGTCAGTTTAGGATGAGGCTGACTCTAATCTCATTGTCTTTTAGTAACTACAGTTAATGCCTTCTTCTAGTTCTATATTCCTGCCTCTCACTACTGCCCGTCAGTTATAGTTGCTAAGGAGAGGCTTAGCTGCAGTTTACTGAGTACGTTAATTAACCTTAGTTGGGGAAATAGCTTTCTGAAGTTCATCCTTAATATAGCTTTCATAGACTAATACTTGAATATAGGTTTCAGTGGGAAAAAAGAATCTAACAATGTTGAGAGGAGCTGCAGTCTTGCATGGTAATGAATTTGCAGCTGGTCCCTCTCACTGGCTCTTTTGAGGTGACAGAAAGGATTTTAGAAGTGTCTTATCTTGGCTGTCCAATGAACAGGCTGTTGACACTGAATTCATCGTAGTCACAGATGTTTGTTAGGAGATCAACCCACATCATATGTGGAATGTACAGGACAAAAGAAATAATGCTAAAAGAGTACAAACTAGGATAGGACTGCTTAACAGTGGTTCTCAACCTTCCTAATGTCGCGACCCTTTAATACAGTTCCTTATGTTGTATGTGGGCTTATCTGCATGTGGGCAGACCTGCCTGGAGACAGATAGAGGAGCGGTGTCTCGGTTCCTAAGACCATCGGAAATATCGATGGTCTTAGGCGACTCCTGTGAAAGGGTCGTGTGACTCCCAAAGGGGTCACGACCCACAGGTTGAGATCTGCTGGCTTAATAGAACATGATTCTTGGGAAATAAATATTATCAGTTTTTATAGCCTACCTTAAATACAAATGATACAGAATCCAAACAGAGCTAATACTTATGCATTGAAGATAGTTGCTCAGAGATACAAGGGTCTCTTACCGGAGGCAGACGCAATATAAACTGGTTCTCAATTTCATAAGGAGGTTCATGCTGGCTTTTACTCATCTCTTGTTTTTGAGTTCATGAAACAAAAACAAAACCAACAGAAAGTCACCAAAAATTCCTCTTGCTCCCTCTGCTGATCATTTCTAGTAGTATTGGTTAAATTATACAAGATCTTGCCCACAATCCTCACTGGAATGTTGTATGTGTACAGTTCTGAAATACCTTATTTGAAATAATTTTATTATTTTTAAAAGTCCTTTATCTCCCCTACAATATGTGAAGATTAAAAAAAATAATCCAAATAACATGATAACAAATGAAGTCAGAGCTGTTATAAAACATGATTTAGTCTTTTAAATGAATGATATTCTTAGACTCTCAGGTAAAAGACTTCAATTTTACCAACACCGTGGGGGCAAGTGAAGCAAACTACATGCCTCTGCAGTGAGAGTGCCAAGTTAATCTTTATTTTTCATTTTACTTTCCCTCAATTCAAGATAGATCTAAAATGGTTTTTAGGGCCTACACTTCTCCTGAGGAAATTTTTCTCAAAAGTGGAAGCAAAGCAATGCACATATATGTAACCTGACAAAGTTTTCTTAGGTTCTAAAGAGATTATACTATACATCAAGTTATAAAATCTTATACCTTAAGTTAGATTAATGTACATCTCCTAATACTCTGTAAACCATTGACTGGGCTCTGAGTTTTGAACTTGAATATAATTTAAAAGCACTGGAACCTTATTTAAAAAAGAAAACACGCATACAAGTTAGTCTGACACCCTATTGTGGCGACTCAGCATTTATCATTTCAGTCCTTTAGTATAACTTTAGAAATTACCAGAAAGGCATAGAAAGCACAAGAGAGGCCAGCAGTGGAAAAGCAGACAGCCAGTATGAGACAGAGAAAAAGACAGAGAAAGAGAGACATTGCTTATTTGTGATAATCACTTTTTTCTTCCTGCTTCATACAACTATACACACACATTGTAGACATAAGAGGGAAAGTTAATTAAAATAAAGCAAATTAAATTTAAAATTTTGGAGCTGGGAACATTGCATAACAGAACAAAGAGTAACAAACACTTAAGATATTTGAAGAACTAGCAACTAAGCAAGATTTTATCTGATCAGTAGTAACTTTTAGATTTCTCAGCAGAACTAAGACTAGGACATTTTGTTTATTTCAGTGCCTTTCTGTCAACTCTTTTATGAAAGAAAGTAAATACAGAAACTTTCAGAGAAGGTGGACAACCTTGGTTGAAATGAGTTTTTAATATTTTTAAAATTTTGTTACCTGCATTTATCCAAGGAACTGATTGTATCTTATTTAAGAAAAGGCAACCGCTTTTTTCTAGCAAGCATTCTCTGATACCTAATTAAATTAACGAGACCTCTCTCCACCATTCATCCCCCAGCTCCATCAGCTTCAGTGAAATTAGATCTGGAATTAGAATTACAGCTAGGTGGAAGGCGCCTGACAGCATGCTTCAGGCAGCCTAAGCCAGCATCGGCTGAAATTGGCCTTTTCTCAAGTTCATAGCCGCTGGCTGCAGTTTGGAGGCAAAGACCACTCCATCCTTATCCCAAGGGAACTAAACTTGCAAGGTAAGAGCACAGCTCTTAGACTTTAAACGGATTTCCCTGGAAAACCAAAGGGTCCCAGCCTTCGAGCCTGGTGGTCCAGGCTATCATGGGAGGGAAGCATCTTTCGGGGTCACTGGGCCCTGGCCGACCCTCCGCCTGGCCAACTCAGCTGCTGTAGCGGCAGCACCCGAAAGGCCGCTAGGGGTAGATCCGCCTCTCTGCCCCGAGGTACGGAAGGGGGCGTGAGTGGGCTCCCAGGCGACAAGCCATGGAATGGGACTGTGGGCGGCGGGTGGACTGTGCAGCGACAGGTAGCAGCCCAGTGCACAACCCCTCCCTGCCTCGCCACGCCCCCGCAACCATCTGGACGAGCTGACAGGCGGGTGGCTCCCAGGCGGCGGCCAGGAGCCCCGTGTCAGGAGGTGAAGGGTTGGGTTGGGGGAAAGGCTCAAGGGGCGCTGAGCGCGGCGGAGACTCGGCCAGGCCTCTTGGGGATCTCGCGGAACAAGACTTCCGAACAAATTCTCTTGACATAGGGGCAACCTTCCGAGTGGCCACAGGACTTTTACCACTGCACAGCGATATTTGTAAAAGGAGTGGCACATTCGGTTGCTCCTCGCCTGGCGACAAATAAGCCGTCAGGGAAACCCATTAAATAACTAGAATCCCGCCCAAACACTGTAGCATATTAGCCGACCCCTCTCTTCCAGAGTCATTATTTTACATCTTTGGACAGGAACACAAGTTACACCACTCATTTCTCCTCAGGTGGGTCACACAGTTCAAATAAACGTCTCCCGAAGACTATCCTTAACTTGTGTGAGGGGGGTTGGGGGGTTGGGGGTGTAAAACCACTTACCTTTTCTTTTCATTAAATTTCCCACAGGAGTTTTGGCAGCAGCCTGGGAGTCTATGTAGGCATCAGCTTGGGCGCCATGGTCGACAAGAGTTGATGTGCCTTGGTCAACCGCCATTTGGACGCCGCAGTAACTGGCAGTTTCAGCTCCAGAATCGACAAGAATTTTGGGATCTTGGAAACTCATTATCTGTGATAAAGTCGGTGGTGCTGAATCACTTTCTGACAGTTGGGAGAGCTGTCTCTCAGGGCACTCCATGGTCAACCTACTTGAGGTACTAAAATGGCTCCCTGTTCGGTCACGTGACCTGAAAGGTTCCAGTACTTTCATAAAGTGATGTCAAAGGTATCCTCCTTAAAGACATAGGGATGACATTCGAGATGTTATGGGTGCGTATTAGGGATTATAGCCACGAAGTCTCTACTGCCTAAAACTTACCTAAACTTAATTGTGAAGAATAAATGTTTTTGGAAGACTAATTATTGCATAATCATGTCTTCTGAATAACTGATTTTTTTTTTTTTCATTCAGTGAAGCTTAATTACCACAGCTTCAGACCTACACAAAATCGTTTTGATCCCTTTTACAATCCATCCATTTTGGCATTATGTGGTGAGGCTACTACATCAAAAGTTGTGATACAAAATAGACAAATAAAATTAGGCTTTCATTTACTGTATAATATTTGTGAAGGCAATTATTATATTAATATATAATTTTTAATAATAACTTAAAGAAAAATTATATTTTTGGTAGCTGAGATGGCGGAGTAATTGTGTCATTTGAATCATATGGATAATGTGAATTGAGTAATTAACTTTCCTTGTTATAGCTGCCTTGATGCTCAGAACCCATTTTGCAGTCCACCTCTAAAAACTGTGAACCTTATTGGCATATGTTGATATTTCTTTTATCTTAAATAAAAAGTCTCCCCCAAGTCCTTAATTATTTTATCTTGTGTGACAAATGCTGAAAACTGCTTCAAACCCTTTAAAAAGAGAATTAGATATAAATATTAGCTAATTTAAAAATACTACTCTTACAAAAGTGTCACAGGGAGCATCCCTATGGGTAGAGGAGTGCAGCATAGTCAGCTCACTTATAAATTCAATCACCTGACAAATGTTAAATTGAGAATCTCATGTGCAAGGCTTGATTTGAAGTATTTAGTAAAGGCTTAAAATATGGTAAAAGTTTCATGGAAGGAGGTAAAAATTAAGATACAGGCATACACATATGTAATTTCCCCTTTATTTTCCCCAACTACGGCTTCAGTCAGTTTCATCATTATAGTAAATATGCATTTGCATATATTCCTTCAACAGAAATTTATTGTTATATGTCAGAAACTTATCAAAGGTTAATAATAGCTAACATTCATTAAGTGCTTGTTAGGCACTCAGCTCTTTTCTATGTACTCTATATGTGTTATATCATTTAACCTTCACAATTGCTCTGTGAATTTGGTGTGACTATGAACCTGGGGTTGTTTTCTTAATGAGTAAACTGAGATTTTAAAAAGTTAATTAACTGACCTGTGTCACATATCTAGTAAATGGTAGAGCCAATACTTAATTTAAGCCCAGATCCATTTGACTCTATGTCTATGTCTACATTCCCAGACCTCCCCTACACAACTAGATGTGCAGTTATTACCCAGTCCCTGGAAACTTCTACTCTACTTTCTGTCTCTATGACTTTGCCTATTCTAGGTACCTCACATAAAATGGAATTATACAATATTTGTCCTTTTATATCTGGTTTCTTCACTTACAATAATGTTTTTGAGGTTCATCCATGTTGTAGCATTATCAGATTTTCATTCCTTTTAAAGGCTGAGTAACATTCCATTATATGCATATACCACATTTTGTTTATCCATTCATCTGTCAATGGACATTTGGGATGTTTCCACCTTTTGGCTATTATGAATAATACTATGAACATTTGTGTACAGGTATCTGAGTCCCTGCTTGCAATTATTTGAGGTATATACATAGAAGTGGAATTGCTGGATCATATGGTAAATCTATATTGAACTTTTTGAGGAACCACCAAACTATTTTCCATAGCGGCTACACTATTTTACATCCCAGTAACAATGCACAGGATTTCACTTTTGCTACATCCTCACCAACACATTACTTTCCATTAAAAAAATAATAATAACTATCCTAATGGGTATGTAGTGGTATCTCATTGTGTTTTTTAAGCACTCATATCCACCTTTATTATATGTATTTTTAAACAAACCCCTAAAACATTACAAAAGAGCAATCACATTCATTCCCTTAAATAATACTCTCGTCAAATTAGATTACACAGAATACTCATATAGCCATCATTTTCATTATGGTTTTGATTTGCATTTCCGTAATATCTAGTGATGTTGAGCATCTTTTCATGTAATAATTGACCATTTGAATATGTTCTTTGGAAAAATGTCCATTCAGGTCCTGTTTTACATTTGTCAATTATTAACTGAGCATAATGACTTGGGTCAATTTCTGGGTTCTCCGTTCTGTTCTGTTCTGTTCTTGTGCCAGTACCAGGCTATTTTGATTACAGTGGCTTTGTAGTATAACCTGATATTCAATATTGTGATCCCTCCTACTTTGTTCTTTTTCAAGATTGATGTGGCTATTCGGGGTCTTTTTTGGTTCCACATTAACTTTTGGAGTATCGCCCTGGCCAGTTTGGCTCAGCAGTTAGAGTGTCAGCCTGCGGACTACACTGTAGAGAAGCAACATTCCTAGAAAAATTATTCTAATGAGGGGGGCATCCTGGGAACAAATAACAAAATGTAATAAGGATAAAGTTGGTATCAATTTCTAGAAATTGGGACTGAATCTTTCAGTAAAATCTTGCCTTTTTGGCCTTCTCTTCTGGTAGAAGCAGAGCTTTCTTAAACACAGTAAAATAGAAATTAAATGCTTATTGGGTGCTCTTTTCTCTGGAAAACATGATGCATTTGCTCTTAATAAGCAATCATTTGTGCACATTTATTGATATTTTGATTAGTGGGTCATAACATATTAGAAGCTATCAACCTAAAAATACTATCAATCTTAATTCAGTAGAATAATGATAAAATCTAGTAAGTACTGTCCTGTTTTATAGCTGCTGGGATTTATTTAAATGGGAAAAATGTAGTGCTAAATTGGCATTCGGTTTAAGTTCAGACTTTATGCAGTACACGTGTATAAGAGCTTTTTATTCTTTACATGGGCTGGACTTAACTTTAAGAAGTGTAGTATATGTAAAAAATTGGACAGATATGCTGTTTTGTGTATGGTCACGTTTCCTCACTTAACCATGAACTTTGTGACCCCTTTGCAGTGGGAATTGGAGAAGCTGTCAACTTTGTGGCCTGTGCCTTTGCCTTAACAATTCCTGGGTGCACTGAGTATTTTAGTCAGGTAGGCAGAAGATGCTTTATTTGGTACTTCTGTTAGCATCATCATAGTTTTACTCTAGCTTTCTCATTTTATTTTAATTCTTATACCCCCAAATTAGTTCTGTTAGTATTTTACTTCTGCCAAGAAGAGTCTTTTATTTCATTTATCTTTTTCTTTATTTAGGAGAAAAATTAATTTTCAGAGTGTTTAAAATATACTATATATTTCTTTTTTTAATTTAATTTATTTATTTTTGTTACAGATGTTTCTCCTTTTTCCCCCACTGACATCCTCCTCTCCTTCTCCCTGCCCTGTCCCCAGCTTTGTTGTCCATGTCCATTATTCATGCACACATGCATATAAGTTCTGTGGTTTATCTCTCCCCCACCACCCCCTCTGCTGGGGATTGGCAGTCTGTACCCCACTTCCATGTCTCTGGGACTACCCCATTCCTCAGACTGTTATGTTCATTATATTCCACAAATAAGTGAGATCATGTCATATTTGTCTTTATTTCAATGAATATTTGTCCATGTATAAAATCCACCAATCATAACATTGCTTAAATTTTTACTTCTGAAGTAATTTTTCTTTAGTTTAATTTGTCTGTCTTATATGCCCTTTGCTGCTTCTTATCTTGTTCCTAGGAGATTCCCAGTGAAATAAATTAACAGCCATTTTTTTCAATTCGTATGGAAACACTATATATATATGGAAATTGTAATGAAGTTGGTCAATTTTACCCTTTTCCCAAGAATTGCCTAACCTAATTCTTGAGAAAGAATTCTAGGTTTATTTACCTTTTATCTGTTTCTCCATAGCTCAATTTTATCTTCTTATTATTTGGATGGACAATTCAATATGAATGGAAATGTGGGATTTATTCTAAGTATTCAGGGCTCTGTAGTAACGGTGATCTATACCCAACAGGGGGAATAGAGTTGTACCTTGTCGCATATGGCAGAGAAACAGAAAGATCCAGGTACCTATTAAGAAACTAGAACAGCCCTGGCTGGTTTGGCTCAGCAGTTAGAGCGTCAGCTCACAAACCAAAGAGACCTAAGTTCGGTTCCCGCTAAGGGCACGTACCTCAGTTGCAGTTTGTCCCCAGTGCCAGTTGGGTTGTATGGGTGGCAACAAGGCAATGTGTCTCTCTCACATAGATGTTTCTCTCTCTTTCTCCCCCTCTTCCTCCTGCTCTATCTGAAGATAAATGCAAAAATTATTAGTGACGTTGAGCATTTTTTCATGTGTCTCTTGGCCATTTGTATGTCCTGTTTGGAGAGGTGTCTATTTAGTTTCTCTGCCAATTTTTTAATTGGGTTCTTTGTCTTCCTTTTGTGGAGTTGTATGAGCACTCTATATATTTTGGAAATTAACCCTTTATGTGATGTATCATTGGCAATTATACTCTCCCATATAGTGGGTTCCCTTTCCATTTTGATGCTTGTTTCTTTTGCTGTGAAGAATCTTTTTAGTTTGATGTAGTCCCTTTAATGTTTTATATACAGTAGTTTCCTCCCTATTCTCAGTTTTGACTTATGTGTTTTTAGTTACCAGTGGTTAACCATGATCCAAAAATATTAAAAGGAAAATTCCAGAAATAATTTATAACATTTAAATTCTGTGCCATTCTGCCCTGGCCAGTTTGGCTCAGCAGTTAGAGTGTCGGCCTGTGGTCCAGAGAAACCCAGGTTCGGTTCCCGCTAGGGGCACAAAGCAATAAATAAATAAATAAATAAATAAATAAATAAATAAATAAATTCTGCGCCATTCTGAGTAGTATGATGAAATCTGGAACCATTGCACTCCAACCAGCCAAGAACATGAATCATCCCTTTGTCCAGCATTTCACACTAT